GGCTTGGAGCATTATGTCAGCATCTCTTGCTCTTCATTGCTAGATACATACAGGTTTAGAAAGTTCATTTAACTCATCAGCCCTCACACATCACCTCCATTTTTTTATCATTTTATTTCAGAAAAAGAATCTGTTGTTCATCATAACGTTGTGATTCTGTGTTGTGACTACGGTGGCCTTGAGGTGTAAATGAACAACATTTGAAAAAACAAAATTACATTGGGGGAAAAAAACTGAATTACATTTGACACAACGGAATTACACTTGAAGAAAAAAAGGACTTGCATTAGAAAAAATGGAATTACATTTGAACAAACAGAATTACATTAAGCTAAAGTGTAAGTGGCCAAAGGAGAAGTGGCCAGAATCACATTTGAAAAAAAAACAGAATTACCTTTGAAAAAACTGAACCTCGTTTGAAAAAACTGGAAAAAAAATACACGCAAAAAAAAAAATCTGTTTTTTCAAATGTGATTCCATTTTTCCAAATGTGATTCCGGCCACTTCCGCTTTGACCACTTCCGCTTTGACCACTTCCGCTTTGACCACTTCCGCTTTGGCTTAATGTAATTCCATTTATTCAAATATACTTCCGTTTTTTTCAAATGGTATTCCATTTTTTCAAATGTTGTTGTGTTTTTGTTGTGTTTGTTGTGTTTTTTCAAATGTTGTTCATTTACACCTTAGGGCCACCGTATGTGACTGTTCCTTCGCCAACAGTTCCTCGCTGAAGCTACAATGGCTTTGCTCATTCACCCACGTCTTTCTTCATTTTTGATCACACTTCTCTTGTATCATTTCTCTTAAATACTACTCTGTTGCTTTGTTTTTAATCATCATTCTTGTTTCTTGTGCCGTCATTTGCTTCATTTTGTCATCAAGGAGCTGACATGCACAGAACAAAACAAACCAGACGAATGGTCTTTAGTTTGGCCCATTTCTGAATCTGAGTCCATATTGCTGTGTTTGGGGTTTGTTTATATGTTTTAGTGGTTCGTGAGGTGTCTTTATCAGTTTTTAGTTATTTGATTTCCCTCCCTAAGGACAAATGGAAGCAACATCATTTGCTCTTATGGCTTTTCAGTTGGTTTATGAGGATTGTGGAATGAAAAAAAAAAGAATGCTTATATGTCTTTACACTGCAGGTGATTTGAAGTTCTAATATTTTCTCTTGTTTGTTTTACTCTAAAGATCATTGGGAACTCACCGTCACACGGGAGCCACGATCGTCTGGACCATTCAGGGAGGAGGCCGGTTCACATCGGAACCCCTCCTCAGCGACGTCCCATCCCATCCATTGGTTAGTGAGGTCACCACATGAGGATCTCCACCTGCAGGGCAGCCGATGTTTGTGCTGTTTATACCATGTGTTTCCCCTGCCAGTATCAGCCGAGCTGCGCATCTCTCCTCATAGAGCTTTACAACCACATAAGTCCCTTTGGTGGGGTGTTTGAGCACCCTGTAGCAGTCCATCTTCATGAGCTGGATTCGCCAAATGTTCACATGCAATTTTGCAGGAAGGTTGTCCCAGATACACTCCCTATGTCTGTTTTCACTGTGGGTTAACACGTTTACACCCAATCTGACCTCCCCGCAGCGGTGCAGCATTGCTGTTTTACTCCCAGAGACTACAGAGTAAAATGTGTCGCCTTTTGTACACACATTTCAAGGCAACCTCATCTTCCTACTGTCTCAGCATGAGTGAATGGGTCATGGGGTAGGACAGAGTGTGTTTTTGTGTGGGGGGATCTCTGAACATAACATTGTGATTGGTGTCTTCTGTAGAGATCACCATGGACAGTAACAGTGAGGGGAGTGAGGGGAACCTCTCACCTGTCAAGGAGGATGTTTACTATGGCAGTGTAGCTGGACGCAGGATATGGCGCTCTTTGTCCTCAGAAGATCAATATGGTATGTGGTGCAGCTTCTCTCCAAGATGACAATGAAAAGTTCGAGAATCCTTCTTGGAAACATGCAGTAATGTCGTGGTGGTTCTGTGCTGGACAGTTAGCTGCTTTGTTGAATTTAGCTTTGCTTAGCTGAATAAGCTGACTGGGGAAGACAAAACTGGCCATTTTGTCCATTTGCTGGAGAATGAATATCCCTTTCCTGTATGTACTCCCACACCTTTAATCCCAAAACAACCCCCAACTCACCCACTCTTCCCATTAATTCACCACATTCAGGCAATTATCCACCAATCAACAACTTATCCCACCCTCCTCTTCCTTACCTTTTCCTTCTCTTCCCACCTTTATGAGACAGTAGACAGTGCCCCTTGTTAATTTTGCACGAGTGTTTCCAAAATGGTGAGAAGGAAAGGCTCAGTACTGGATGATTTGCCTTGGCAGTACCACTTTGTTGCACTATCATGAAAAGTCAAAGATCATCTTCCACACAGTACATCTCCGTTACAAGGTACTTAGTCAGCCTTACAACCTGCCATTTAAACATTGAACATGGTGATCCATGAAAAGCTTGGAAAGCTGATATCAGGTTCATCCCTTCCCCTCACTGTCCCTGATATCTGCATTAACTGCTGGGGCCATTTGATTTGTTCCCTCCCACCGAAGCATGACTCGTTTGGCTGTGTTTTCACACGTGGCTTAAACGCACGGAAGCACACCTGCAGTTGATGTATGAATGCTCTACTTGTTTCATGTAATCCCTGGACAGCTTGCATGCAAATCAGCCTCTGTGAGAAAAGCCAGTGAAACAGCAATGAACATAACATTAGTGCTGTCTGTGTTACTCGTTTGTTCTTGATGTATCATTCCCTCGTGTTTCCTTTCTATGTTGTGTTGCATTGCATTCTGTGGTATCTGACACACCAGCGTATAGAGAAGTGTGAACAAAGAACCCTCCAATCTTGTGATGTTGTGTTTACAGTAATAGACACAACAGGAGCTTCATTACTTTGCAAAGAAAAGATTAAAAGTTTAATTACACCATTTGACTTCTGGCTCTTTCTTCACACACGTGTCTCATTGCCCTCTTCCCTGTCAGCTCTAACTAAGACATCTTCTGCTGTCACTGCCTCTACAGCCAGCGTGGCTGTATAAGGCTGGTAGTAGCAGCAGAGGCCTCCTTTATGTTTCAGATGGCTACAGCGGGCGCAGACACGGGCGGGGACAGCGATCCCCAGATTGTTTTGAGGAATCGGAGCCAGAAGATCTGACCCGAGCGTTTGTGGCTTTGTTCGACTACGATCCTCTGTCCATGTCTCCCAACCCAGATGCTGCTGATGAAGAGTTGCCATTCAAGGAAGGTCAGGTCATTAAGGTGGGTATTCATCGAAGCGCCTAACACAGGCAGATGGCTCTTCAACTAATGGCTTGATAATTATCTCCTCAATATTCCTTAAACTTGGGCAAGTCATACCTTCTGGGATGTCTCTTTTTTCCTGGTATCTTGTTCTTTTAGGTGTTTGGAAATAAGGACACAGATGGCTTCTACAGGGCAGAAATCCGAGGCAGAGTTGGTCTAATTCCCTGTAACATGGTATCTGAAATCCAAACAGAGGATTATGAAATGATGGACCAGCTCCTCAAGCAGGGCTTTCTCCCACTAAACACTCCTGTGGAGAAGTTAGGTGAGACACGAAATTCCACCCCTGCTTTTTTGTTTACCTCTTCTTTTATCTTGACCGTTTTGATGGTTTTGTTAACTTTCTTTTACTGACTTACTTCCCCTTGCCTTCTTACTTGTTCTTCCGCTTCCCTGTGAAGTGAACTGTGACCGTTTTAAAGATGGCCGTTCAATAAATCGCAGGTCCAGAAAGTCCAAGAGAGGTCTGTGTGCACAGAGATGCTCCTCTGCTTTTTATGTCAGCTTTGCTTGTTTCTACTCCTTATTCATCTTTATTTACATTTTTTTTCATTCCATTTGCTTACTTTAAGCTATTTCTAACTCATACTGTGGATTCAGTTTTCACTGTGAGCCTGATAACATCCTACAGCAAGTGCACAAGTCTGACCCAATACCTCTACTGGTTCAAGGGGAATTAAACTGAAAGTAATTGGGAATTTAATCATGTTTAAAAAATCCTAAATCATGAGCAGCTTAAGATAAAAAAATTAAAAAAACTACAAGAAAGTTGGATTCTTTCAAAGCTGAAGGTAAACAACTGAGAGGTGGCTCAAGACTTTGGCACAGTTTCGTATGTTGAGGCTTTGTGTCATTTGTCATTGCAATCCCAATATTATATTTATGTTCTTGCCTCAGATAATTATTCTGTTTGTCTCTGCATTTTTGGTATTTTACTTCTTCAGAAAGAAACAGGCGGAGCGGGCGTCAGTATCCAATGTCAACACGGAGAATGGTGGCCCTGTACGACTACGACCCCCGAGAGAGCTCCCCAAATGTTGACGTTGAGGTACTAACAGCAAATCAGCGTTTTAATTTTTGCACTTAAACACTTATGTTAACACAAATTGCACACAAATGGAGAATCTTTAAAGAACAGTTGGTGAATTTTAGTCCACTTTATGTCAATTGATATACAGTAGTAGTCTTGTTTGTTGTCCATTTGAGGAAAAAAAATCTATACAATTAAATGATTGTTTAAGATTAGGACAAGGCATGGAGAGCCATTGTACTTTTCATGTAGTCCAGTAGTTTTAAAAAGTATTTTCCCGTGCTGTTTTCTTTGGTCCCTCCCCCTTGGTTTCACTTACTCTCACCTTTCTATTGGCATTGCCACCGCCACAGTATGAAGGCAACAGACTGAATGAGGAGGTGAGTGAGGGTGAGGAGGGTGCCGTCTACATGTCTGTGTTTCCTTCCTTGTTTGTTGGAGTGCAGAGGAGGAGGTGGGCTTCAGATGACAGGCCACGACCCCTTTAACCTTGGTAGTCACAAATACTGCCCCCACCCCCACCCCATGCAAAGTCTGAACCAAACATCTCCCCTCCTCGATTTGTTCTTTTGTGTCGATTTCTCTCCTACTTACTGTATATATGCTGTGTTTGGTTAGTGTGGTCTTGAGAATCCCATTGGAGATGCGCTCAGTGTGTTACAGTCCTGTCTTCAAAGTTAAAACGTCTGATGCATTTACAGTTGAGATCTGCTGAGCGGGATTGACGTGTTCAAGATGCATCACATTGATTTGGAGAAGGAGGCACAACATTTCAAAATCATCAAATCTCAATTGAAAATTGATGTTTCAAAATGTTTTTGGCACATTTGAAATGCTATGATAATTAAATAGACCACATTGATCTCAAGCTGTTTTCGTTCTTTGACAGGCTGAACTGACATTCTGTGCTGGTGATGTCATCATGGTGTTTGGAGAAATAGATGAAGATGGATTTTACTATGCAAGTACACGTTTGTTTTCCTTTCTGTCATGTAAGCCAAGGCAACATCTGTTTACTGTATAGGTCATTTAAAAATTACCTTTGGTGACCAAACTTCCGTTCAAAATGTAAGGTATGGCAAAAGTAAAAAGTAATACAGCAACAAATATTCAGTGAGTTGTATGAGTGCTGAATACACATATACAGTATACAACTGGAACCTTGAGTCCAGTTTCATTCCACCTCATGTACCACATATGATGCGAATGACAATAAAGATGGATGCAAGCATAGATTCAGTATAGAACAGTCATACAACTGTTGTAACTGGTCCCAGAGATCCACTTGATCAGCACTGAGCCAAAGTCCGGATTGATTTGATTGAAGAAAGCTTGAAGACCTGGCTAATCACGAAACAACCTCAACATGCCATCCATAAACACACCTGCTGTGTGTGGGCTCAGTGTTGTCTCATTGATTCTACCACAGTTTGACTCAGGAGGGGTAAGACATGGATGCCACAGATGTAGTGCTGTATCGTCAGTGTCCCTCAATCACTTCCAGAGGAGTTCATACACAGTAGATTCCCACATCATGTCAGGAGTAATGCTGGTATGTCTCCACAACACTGGCAGGAATTGTCTTCTTCCCTCGGCTCACACTTACCATCTTCATCCATGGTAGTGCAGAACTCAGATTTATCTCTAAGCTTGATGTGACACCACTCATCAGTCCAAACCTTCTGGTTCCACAACAAAAGCAGCCATCTCTGCTCTGGCGTTTATGACAGTCTACACACAAAACAGTAAATCCATCTACCACTCTTACCAATTGTTGAGGTATGAAGCAGGAAGTCAAGGCAGATTTATTTATATGGCACATTTAAAACAGAAACTGTTACCAAAGTGCTTAAAGGGAAGTTATTCCGATTTACAGGTGCTGATGTCATGGCGGTCCTGACCTCAACAAAAACCTATAATGTGACCCCTTTTAAATTCCAAGTGCGCATAATGCTGTCTAATGTATCTACGTGTAATCTCCTGTATCTGGTGACCTTGTCAACCACTCTGGCAACTGCCTGATAACATTCTCACTCCAATTGGGATGCCATCACTTTTCATTCATTCATTCAAACTTTATTTATACTGTACACGTTAATCCCATTGAGCCTCGGGGACTCATTTAAGAGGGACCAGATTCTAACAAAGAGTGATGACAACAGTGGACAACAAAGTCAAAGTCAATTATAATATATATAATATATAAATATACACTTGGGGGAGTGGTGGCGCAGTGGTTAGAAGATGGGCCTGTGATCGGAAAGTCGCAGGTTCAACTCCTGGTACTGTCAACATCAAAATGTGGGTGGAAAAGGTGAAACACCCACACCTGCCTCCACCTTCATTCGCCCCACTCTGGGCCCCTGAGCAAGGCCCTTAACCCCCACCATCTGCTCCCTAAATAAGTCTCTCTTGAAAATTAGTTCTCGTGGCTCAATAAGACTACCTGGATAAATAAAGCGTAAATGAAAAAAAAAAAAATGATGAAATAAAAATATATATATATATATATATATATATATATATATATATACACTTAAAATCCTCTGGTGCCCGTTGTAGTCATAGAAGGCCCTTTAGTAATTGGTTTAAGTAGTCATTGTTGGTCTGCATGCGGCCTAAATTACCCAGTAATGCCCAAATTGGACCACTTGTTCTGGGTGTCTGTTTTAGTCGGTGTATTTTACTTAAGCTCTTATTATATAGCTCAATAGTTTGCACAGTGTTTAACAACAATTCTTAAATAGGAGTTGCAAATTAGATAAAACCCTAAGCCGGCATAAACAGTGTTTGCAATCAACTAAACAAAGCTGCTGTTAAAGAAATCAAAAGTAAAATCTTTTAAACGTCACAAGTTTACAGAATCACTTTGTACCAAAAGAGCCACAGTTGTTAAAACTCTCACAAAAAGGTTCTGCAGCTCCGTTAGCAATATAGATGCATAATCCTGTATCCATGGTCACAAATCAGCTCTGTTACAGTTTTTACTTGTAGCATTGCTCCCCTTCAGTTCTGGGCACTTGTCTGTTAGGAAACGTTTAAAGTTTAGTCCAGCAGCAGGAGTCTCATGGTGCTCATCTTGTCTGCAGGGCGAGCTCAACGGACACAAGGGGCTCGTTCCTTCCAACTTTCTCGAAGAAGTGCCTGATGATGTTGAGGTTTTCCTCACAGATTCACCATCTCGCTATCCCCAGGACTCTCCGGCACGGATAAAGACCAAAAGGGTACATGCTCCTTCGCAGTACTAGCCCTCTGTCATCCATTTACTCTTTTCCTGTTCCCTCTATCTCCTTTAGTTTCGTGTCTGTGCGTGTGTGTCTCATTGAGCCAAGTACAAAAGAATTTCTGACTTTACGAGCATCGCCCTGTAAATAACTGGGGGGTGGGGGTGGGGGGAGTGAAACTTTAAGAATAAAACTTGACAAAGGTATTTTTATTTTTCATGTTTACTACTGTGAAAGGGGGAAGTTGTGCATTGTATAAATGGATTTATTGTATTCATAAAGCATTCTCAGTGAGATTAAAGTTGATGGGGAAATGCTCCTCTGACTTTTTAAACTTCGGTCTTGAAAAACAGCAGCTAATATTTTTTGCACATGCCTATGTAACATTGGAACAGATGCTTTATGAATATATTCTGTGTTTGGATTTATTTCTAATAAATAGTTTTGTTGTACTGAAAGATGAACCATGTAGTCTGTAGCTCAGCATGGTATATAGTCCAGATGCATGAACGTTTTATACCAAGATGAGTCTAGCATAGTACAACTTTTGTATCTGCTCCCGAATGCCTTGTTTTGTAAATTGCTTTCTTGTAAATTAGCAAAAGGTCACGTAATGTTGCCATGAGAGCATAACTTCAGGATTTATCTCCTACATGTAAATACGTGATGTTATTTTTGTGTTTAACAAATAATGCAGTTGTTCCAAAATGTTCATAGTTGTCATCAGATGTTTCCTTCCTTCTGTTCTAATTTGCCATGGTCATAGTGCTAAATATTGAAATGCCATCACCATGTTTTTTTTTTTATTTCTTTTTCTCACCTGCTTGGCAAAACAGAAGAAGAGTGTTCATTTCACACCTTAAAGGCTCTGTTTCCGTCACGTAAGTGAGCAACTGAGGATACCAAGATTACGCTCCTCTCGTCTAATGCAGATGGCATGGGTATCGTTAGTTTCTGGTATGCAACATGTATACTTTGTATGACGTTCCTTCAGTTCTGCTCTGTTCCTTAGCTGGTTTTATGAATAATCTTAGTTGAACAAACATTGGGTGGGCATAATTACCCTAGGCAATGCATTAGACAACCAGTGTGGTATCTTCAGTTGTTTCTCTGAGTGTTGTACATGACAATGTCCGTCTCCTGCAATAAGTCTCCTGCTGTAACTCATGATACGCTAAAAGGCCATCTTCCATAATTGCACATTTAAAAAGCAGTTGAAATCAGCAACACTGACAGGAAAATACGACTTCTGTCAGTGCAGCTTGAAAAACAAAACACTGAAAATACATTTCAGATTTGCAACTAAAAAAGTGATTTTTATTTTAAACTAGCAACATGTTGGCAATAAATAATGAAATCAACACAAACGTTTACTAAAACTTCTCACAGCTAGTGATATTATTTAACAGCATGGGGAAAAAACTTCCAGCCTTTCAGAAATAAAAATGGAGTGAATTTAAAGATTTCTGATGACGGATTAGACACGTAACAAAAGTAACTCAAACATCTGTGGAGGCCCCATCGTCGCTGCGTGACATCCACATCTGTCACCGAGGTGTTTTTTCAAGGAAGGCCTCACTTATTTCAGCGAGACGATGTCAAAACATTAAATTATACAGCAGCTCAAGAGTGAACATCAAAGCGCTGAACTGATGAGTCTGGAAATAATGTAAAAAAAAAAAAAAAAAAAGCATGTATTCATCTAAATGTTTTCAATGAACTTGTCTTGTTGGCATATGCAAATATTTTTCTATTTCGAACAAAAAAAAGCAAAAATATTCTGTTTCAACATTTGATATGATTTCTTGTGCACAAGCATTTATTTTTACAAAGCATTGCACTCTAAATGTATTTCGCCTGGGGCCTTTTGGAAAATGAGATCTAAACAGATTAACCCAAATTAAGAATATTTGACCCCCTAAAAAGTAAAATACTTCCATTTACACAAGACACTACAAATGCAGCAAAAAGAATGTTCTAAATACCAGTATATTAAAATCAGTACTATTTTTCTGATACTTATAAATGGTCAACTAAAATATATTTAAAGTGAGACTTTACAACTTTTCTCGAGGCGACGGACTGTGGCTCAGATCATCTAAATGCCACGTCACCCAACAGTAGCACGATTCAGTGAATGTTACTCAGTGGTATTTAACCAACAAATATTACGTTTGTAATCAAAAGTGCATTTATTTATTAAGATTTCAACTTAAAGTGAGTTTATTTGCTATAATGACAAAATCTCACTTTAGTTTCACATTTTCTGCACTGGACTGCAAATTCTGACCAAATATCGACCCAGACACGGCCGTGTGCAAAACTTCAATGTGTCCTAAAGTGCAATTTGAGAGCCTTTTAGCCCATGATTACAGAAAACAGTGACGAGTAGTCTCTTTGTAACTCACTTGTACCAGTAAATATATTTAACAGGAAGTGAATGTGATCATTTGTCCAAAACTGCAAATCTGTTCATGTGAAACCAGCTGCCCTGCATTTAATAGTTGTAGTTGGGAAAATGTTACCTTACATTGATGAAGTTATCTAATGTCACTTCATGTTATTGTAGAATATTTATTTCATTTATTAAAATCCACTGTTCCTGTCAGAAGGGGTGGGAGGGAAAGTTTATCCATACTCAAGTACCAAGATCTGGGGGTTAGACCATTAACTATGATGGCCCTGCTCAGACAGGAAGAGGGGAGGGGGGTAGTGACTGTGGTGTGAGAGACGGTTGGCTTTTTAACACCCTCAACTGTCCCCTACGGGTCTCCCATTAGGTTCCACCGGAAAAATCGTCTCCGCAAAGAAGAGCACCCTCTCCCACAGTGCGCCCGCACATCCCTGGCTCAGGCCCCGTGGGGCCCGGCAGTCCCTACAGGGCCACAATGGACAAGTACTCCTCCAAAAAGAAAAAGGGGCTGCTCTCCAAAGGGAAGACACTGTTTCAAAGACTTGTAAACTAAGGTTTTTCTACATCACTCAGAAAGTGGCATCCACTTCCTTGTAAAAGCATCAAAATAAATGCAGTGCAGTTGGCATTTGTGAGCTTAGCAAATGCGTTTATTTTTTCAACATTTGATGTATATCAGAATATTTGTATTTTGTTATCAGTAAAAAACATTTTTCAATAATTTCCTGTTATGGTTCCACAGCCTCAGCGTCAGACCATGTCTGTGTGCGACTCACCTCCAAGTCTAGTGATGACATTTTGTAGCACAGTATTTTGAACACCATCATGTCTGGCAATAAATAAAATAAGAAGGTCCTTCAGTGTACAGAAATCAGATTTCTGCTCAAACACGCAACTCTTCTAAAGGCTGGAGTCTAGAATAAATTTAATGCAAGACTTGGACTGTGGAAACTTGTTCAGAGCAGATTGTCACATCCAAGTTTGCTTGCTTTACTTAGCATATTCCCTTCAAACCCTTTCCGAGTGAAACATGTCCACCTCACTGTTGAATCCAATCAGAGAACTTCTCCTGCCCCCACGGTAAATTCAAGCACATCGTCTCCACCACAGGGTGTTGCAGTGAAGGCCCAGTAGATCAAAGCTCCTTGTGTTGGCCTTATTAAACAGTTCATGCTTTGTCCAGCAGTTTCACTCTTGGTCCATGAACCAGCTGTTTGCAGATGTTTATTCTGACTCAACTCCAGGGTGACACGTCTCGTCTGTAGAGCCAGCATTACCATCGTTGTAGACTCCTGTGATGGTGCCCATCGTTCATCGTGAATGCTAAAAAAATATTTAACTTTGAAAGTTTTCATACAAAATTTGGGACGATCTCGTGTTTTGACTTGGAATTCTAAATTAAAAATATTAAATAAATCTATGTAACATAAACAATAGTTATTGATATCAGCAAATCGTGTTGCATTTCTTTGCATGCAACCCTTGAGATCAAGGTGAAGCCACCTCTGCTGCTCCTATATTCAGAGTTTAGTCCACTTGTCATCGATGCCTGTTCAGTGTCCCAAACTGTCGGTGCAGAATACGAGTACTGTATGTGAATATAATATCTACACCTTAATGTAGAGTAGTGAATGTACAATGAATTAAAAGCCAATGTATCTTTAACGCTGCCCCAACAGATTGTGCAGACGTCCAACTTTGTGCATGAAGCAGTCCGCCTCCTTCCACACCCTCAGTTTCCCATTTCACTGCATCTTAAAACAGAACCTGCTTTCTAGTTAAGAGTTTAAGTGAAACTGCCAAAAGGGAAAATAAATTGTGTATGCAAGTCAAATACTTTTACAACTTTTGGCTGAGCAGCTGTAATAATCTACAATAAAGTGAGTAACATCTTTTCCTATTTCTGGACCAGGTCCACTGACATTGATTTTGTTTTAAGTGACAGGAGCTCTTTTTGTACTTTGTCCATTTGTAAAATTGTTTTTAAATGTTTATACTTGATTTTCAGACTGCCTTTTTTGTACATTTAACTTTATAATCCAACAGTGCAAGCTTTCCCCATGGTGTCTTTAAGACCATATTGTTAAGTCTGCAGTTGTGTGCTAGCTTTGACAAGAACTATCAGCCTATACGGATGGTTACAAATTATTGTGTGGGTGTGCATGTGCAATCTTTTTTTAAAACAGAAAATACCTGAATAAATTTATTATTTTGTCACGTGTGTGTGTCTGATTTGCCTTGAAATACTAGAGATGACGCACAAAACCTCGAACAAACAGTTTATTTAACATCTTTGGAGCTGATGAGCCTTAAAACGTTTCTGGTGGTTTTGACTCTGCACATTAAAGAACAAAAACAAAACTGTCTGAAAGATCACTTAAATAAATTTTTGCCACTACAGGGAACATGGGAAAAAATAAAAATACAAATAAAGACGAGACAGCATTTCTTACTTAAAAAAATAAAATAAATAACTAGATTAACAAGCAATGTCTTGAACACAGTCAAGCTCATTTTAACAGGTCAACATAAACTTGAGTCTCTGGGTAAGCCAACGTTAGCTTGAACCGGACGGACTGGTTTTTTTTTTAAAGATAGAAAAGGTAGTCATCCAGCTGCACGCTGGGCTGCTTGTGAATACTCTGCCCCACAAGGAAAGCCAGCTTGTGTGCGTACTGGCAGGGAGCAGGCACTCTGATGATCCCCTGAGAAATAAACATGACAAACATAAATCCAAACATGATTTAACACATACACAGCTACTGAGATCTTTCTTTTATTCATATTGTCTAGAATGTTGGGAGCAAAGGCATCACTATATTCTGTGACTTGTAAACGTCCAGCTATTTTAGGTGTTCAAAATTGTCAATATCCCATTCATTGCCAAGATGGCCACGCTCTCTGGAGCAGCAGCTTCACATGCTCCCGGTGCGATCCCAGTTATTAGAAGTATTGAAATAGACTCCAAGCCCGACTCCACACGCTTTAAGCACGTGAATTATAGCCGAACCGAACTGATGAGAATGGGAGGATTCACCACGGAAAACAGCAGCGATCAGCAACAAACTCAATTCTACGCTCGGCAGAATGCAGATCTTAAAGTCATCTGCCTGGAAGATTCAACAGGGGCACTCAAATGGAAAGAGGCAGCACACTAGTGGAGGGTCTGGGGGTCCTCCCTCAGAAGATTTTGAATAAAGTAGATGTCATTTACTGTATTCTGGTGTATTTTAAGGGGTTAAACATCTATGTTTTCCTACATTAGTAAATTGATTCAATAGCTATTTTAGAGAGCAACAAGAAGTAGCCTGACCAACAGCTCTCCTCGTGTGAATAGAGCATGCTCTGCTCACCAATACCCCCACCTGATCGACAACAGCCACTACTAAAGTAGCACAAAGATAGAGTGCCACACAGAAGCATCTCCCCCTCCTCAACAACCCTGTCCACCAAAAACCCCTAAGAGATGAGTGCCCCCTGCCAAGATAAGTAACCTGGAGAAACCACTGCATGCAGTGAGGAGAGTTGTTGAAAGCCCAGTGTGGACTTTAGTGCTTTGAGTATTCTTCTATTTATCAAGTGGAATGGATTTGTTCACAAAGAAATGCAAACAGCGCTGGGTGAACTAATATTTCATGGTAAATGTGTGTGTGTGTGTGTGTGTCCAAACAAATATTTTTTGAATGTGAGGGGGACATGTCCTCTTCACATAATTAATGCGATGCTGCTTACCAGCATCACAGGCATTAAGAATTATGAAGTCATAATCAGCAGCAGCTGTCAATCAGTTCTGTAGAGGAGATGACATACATTTTATAATACAGTAATCTAATAAAGAATTAGTTCACAACAATTTTTTCTTTATTCTTTATCTTGCAGCTCCCAGCTGAATTCATGCAGATGAAAAACCTCAGTTTTCTTCAACTACAGACATTATTATCTTATTTGAATTAAATGTTTTTAACCCTTTAACTTTATTCATGTTCCTCAGGGGGAAAATCAAGCTGTCAGCTCAAATGAATATATCTAATTTAAATGATTTTTTTTTTAATGCTTGTAAGGTTTTGTTTAAAACCTCTACATTATTTTTTATTGACAAAATATTTATTTTACTGTAATTTTTATAAGTATATTTTTCTCCACTAGTCTTCCTTCTGGGTCAACATCCACTTCCTCCTCTGTTCTCCAGAGCTCAGAACTGATGTTTGGTTCTGGACCCCCTCCTCTGTGCAGTCAGACCTGGGCTCGGTCCGCTCTTCCTCTTCTAAAACAAACGATCTTCCTCTTCGTCACCCACCGACTCACCCCCACTCTCGCTGACTTTATCACGCACTGAACTCCATTCAACTTCCGTGTCTTTTTATTATTTTTCCTATAGATTAGTTGGTGCTTGACAAATAACTTTGAGCCTCCGTCAGAAAGTGGGGGGGAGGTTGTTTATCTGTTCAGCGGTGGTGGGGGCTACAGCTTCTCGCTGTAACATGCTTGAGATTTGACTTTTGTCAGTAAAAAGACGTGGTGTGGATTATTTATCATTTTACGTGGCCTATCAACATGATTAAAAACCGTTTAAAATCTGTAGTTTTGACACAAATTTAAAGGGAGTCGCTGAGATGCTGCTTCTTTCCTGCTAGAGACTGAAATCAGTCATTTGACCCATGCGCCTGCGCTTCGATTCGCCTAAAGGGGACACAACATCAGTCAGAGTAGGAGGCAAAATCGTCTCCTGTTATGGAGGAGGCAGAGCGCCACTCGTTTCTCAAGTAAAACTATATTTTGTCCCGGTGTGACGAACTCCATCTTCTGCATTGATTTGACTGTGGAGCAGCACACACTTGCTTGCTCTTCTAAGACCCGCCTTCCTGTTACTAATTGATCAAGACAATGCCAGCTTCAATGTGATTGGATGTAATCCCTGTCTATCAACCAAAGTTAAGTTGAGGCGGACTGGTGGATAGTCTCGCTCTCAAGATGGAAATCCGGCCCCCCCAGGCCGGAGCGCTTTAAGCCCTGGCATACACCCTGATGGGCTGCAGCCAAGCTCTGCAGGTAAGGGGCGTTTATCTTCGGGACAAATTGAGGTCGCCGATTGGTCATTTGCTGACACGTCTACTGGATTGATTGACAGGTCGCAAAAAAAAAAAAAAAAAAGAAAGAAAGAAAACGAGAGCTACCAGCGGCCCTGGGTAGTGACAGCTGGCAGCCCAGGAGCAGTGGTGTTCTGTGTTTATATGTGGTTAATAAAAAGTTCATTTAAAAAAAAAAAAAAAAAAAAAAAAAAAAAAAACGGAACTCTGGCCCTGCAGCCCACACATCAGACTGGTCCACCAGGAATTATCCAGATCCTCCTGCAGCCATGCCACGCCTGATTTTAATTATCTCGTGACAAATTCATTTCTCACAATTTCTGTAATGGCGTCAGTGGACGAGGAGAGAGATTGCATGCCTCTTGGCAAAAAAAACAAAAGAAAAGTCTATCAGGGATGAAGAAGAGGAATTTAATACATTGGTGTCGCATACAAAACAGTCTGGCGCCGGGCATTAATTGTGTAATACAGAGTACACGTACGCGATCGAAAAAAAAAAAGATCTTTGTGTGGACATGGCTTGAGGATTTCTGCTTCAAGTCTGTGTTAAGTCTAATCCGGATCGCGCGGACCTCTGCGCAGTGAAGTACACCCGAGTATGTGGGAGTCTTAAGGCTGGCAGACTACCAATATCCACTCTCTTTCTGTCGACGTCCACTCTTTGGACAACAAAATGAATCTGCTTTGATTAAGAATGTGAAGTGGTTTGTCTCACGAATCATGGCTTAACAGTGACATGCTGGACTCAGCGTTCCAGCTGGACAACAAACTTTTTCCGAGCGAACCGCTTAAGTGTACCAATGGGAAAGTCACGGGGAGGCGGAGTGTGCATATACGTAAATAAAGATTGGTGCAGAAACTGTACTCTGATAAACAGCTCTTGCTCCAAGGTTTTGGAGCAGCTAACAGTGACCAACAGTTTTGCATGCACAGAATGGCAGGTCTTCAGAGAAGCTGCTGTAAATGAGGGGGAGCTAGATCTGGAGGAATACACGTATACACTCAGTCCTGGGACACCTTAGCAAATGTGCTGATGACGTCACCACCATCAGATACTTTAAGAGCTACCCGAACAGGAAGCCTTGGTTGAATGCAGAGGTTCGCACCCTGCTGGTAGCCAGGGACACTGTATTTGGGACCTGGGACCCTGTGTACATAATTTCGCTCCACCATATGTACCACATGAGGTGCGAATGACAATAAAGAAACTCTGACTCTGATTTAGGTGTGGGAACTCACAGGAGCTGAGAAGGACAAGAAAAGAGCTGGATGCTGGTATTACGAGGGTCAAAGCTACATATGCACAGCGGATCCATGGTCAATTCACCTCACAAGACCCACAGAGCATGTGGAGGGGCATTAAGTATATAACAGATTATAAAGGCAGGGGTGCAGAATCCCCTAAGGACTCATCACTGCCTCTTGCCCTCAACAAGTTCTATGCACGCTTTGAAGACCCGAACAGACCATCCAGCACCAGATTCACCTCACTACTGGGAAGAGGAATTTCTCAGCGGGACCTCAGCCAAAGTGAGGAGTACTTTCAGGAGGATTAATCCTCACAAAGCAACTGGCCCAGACAACCCCGGGAAGGTGCTGAAAGACTGTGCCGATCAGCTCTGCAAGGTGCTGGCTGACATCTTTAACTCCTCACTCAACCTGGCAATAGTTCTGACCTGCCTGAAGACCGCCACCATCATCCCAGTCCCAAAGAGCTCTACAGTGATACCCAGATACTTGAACTCCTCCACCCGAAGCAAAGTAACCCCCCACCCCCACCTCAGACCAGGATAGCATTTCATCCATTTTCAGTCAAGAACCATAGCCTCTGACTTAAGGTAACTGACTCTCATTCCATCTGCTTCACACTTGGTTGCAAAACTGCCGCAGTGCACGCTGAAGTTTTTGTTTTGAAGACACTAGCAGAACTACATCATAAGCATAAAGCAGAGATGAGATCCTGAGGTTCCCAAACCAGACATTCCTCTCTATGATTGTTCCTCATTCCTGTCCATGAAAATCACAAACCGGGTCGGAGACCAGGGACAGCCTTGGCAGAATCCAACCCACACTGAGAACAAGCTCGACTTTGTGCAAAGAATACAGCTCTTGCTTTGGTTATATAGAGAGTAGATAGCAATTAAAAGCAAACCACACAGCCCATTTTCCTGCAAGACCCCCCACAGAATGCCTCGAGGAACACGGTCGTAAGCCTTTTCCAGATCCTCAAAACAAGTAGACCGGAAAAGCAAACTCTCATGACCCCTTAACAATTCCACACGGGTAAAAATCTGGTCCACTGTTCCATGATCAGGATGGAAGCTACACTGCTCTTCCTGAATCCAAGGTTCGACAATCTGTCAAAGCCTCCCTTCCATCACTCTGGAGCAAACCTTACTGGGGATGGCAAGACGTGTGATTCCATGATAGAACACACTCTTCAGTCTTCCATTTTTAAAAATGGGAACGAGCTCCCCAGTCTGCCACTCCACAGGCATCGTCCTAGTTCTACATGTAACATAGAAGACATAAAAGTCGCACAACATCCAGAACCAGCCACTGAAGCTGCAGTCCTTCTTACCACCCTGTACGTATGTGTCAACTGCTTCAGGAATCCTTTGGGACAACCAAGTCCTGAAGGCTTCATTGTTCAGCTTGACGGCCTCCATCACTGCTGGTGTCAACCAGCGAGTCCTTTGGTTTCTGCCACGACAGGCACCAAAGACCTTCAGGCCACAACTACTGGAAGCTGCATCTGCAATAGAGGCCCTGAACAGAGCCAATTCAAATTCCAAGAATTTCCTAGGAGCCACTGTTCGAATACCAGGCGCTCGCTCGCTCCCAGGTTTCCTAAAGTATCTGTTGTTCTCTTCATCATGCTTTTGAATTGCTCTTATTCTGACACTTCCTCCGAGGCCTGTTTGACATGGGAGACCCTACCAGGGGTTGATGCCCCCAACAACATAGCTCCTAGGATCACAAGAGTACTCAAACCCCTCCACTAATGTGATGATTCTGTGGAGGGGTGTGAAGTAACCTGTATGCATGAAAACACTCTCAGATGTGTAGTATTTGGATGGGGTGCTTTAGGTGTAAAAAAAATTCAAGTCAAAATATTTATTTTCTGCTTGAATCCCTGCTTAAAATACACTGAAAATGCCTCTCTCTCAAAGTCTGATGACAAATAGGCCTGTCACGATAACAAATTTTGCTGGACGGTTGTCTCAGAAATTGTTGCGATAAAGAATATTGTTTGAAATTGGACAATAATTAGTAATTGTCAAATTTAAGAAGAAATTTTTGTTAAATTGTTTTACGAGCAGTACCTTTTTCGACCACCAGTATGACTGTTTGAACTGAAGGATGGATAATGACGGAGTAGTGCGTCTCTTAAGGAAAATGGGAGGAAGGCCCCTTGATGTGACATGGGCTGTCCCTTTTCGGTTCTCAAAATGGCAGACGCTCTGTGTGGTTTGAGCTCTTTAGCATAGCATTTTTCACACAAAGCTTTTAATAATTTTTTTTTTTTTTTTTTAATCAGTTAAGTTCTCAGCTTCTTTTTGCAGAGAAAAACAACTTTTTACACGAAGGCACAGGTTTCAACCGTGAATTTTTAGAGCTTCGCAAGTCTGAGGTTCCATCGATAAAGCCGATAAATGAAAACGAAGTTGATAATTTTCATTTATCATGCGATTAATTGATTTATCGTTTTTATTATTATTTATTGTTTGCCTAATGACAAGGAAGAGGATGTAGAGAACAAGCAAGTTCCACTTGAGCAGCTCCTAGAAGAGAATGCCGCGCAATTGTTTGGAAATTCCAAGCAGTCCACAAGATGGCTGACAGAACAATTGTATAAAGTGCAATAAACTTACTACAATATATTTTTCTTAATTTTAGTTGCCTTCTTTACAGCAAAGGCTGTGGATAACCAAAAACTTTGGCAGACAACCAGATGTTGTAAAGATAGTCTGCTGGACAACCTGAAAAATGTCTTCATGTCTACCGATAAAGATGTGTATGAGAGAAAGTGATACAGATTTAACCTTTAAAATATAATTATTTTAAAGCAATTTTCATTAACTTTTACAAGCACAAACATTTTAGGTGCATTGTTGTAACATTTTCAGAATTATATAAAATTTAAAACCAGCCCACCTGCCAGTTGTAGTACAAGTGGCACAGCTTGTAGGTGAGGCGCTGCATGTGATCAGGCTTCAGACCATTGGTATCATACACAACGTTGTAGTGTGTTGGTGCTACGCTTCCATTCCTAACAGACTGGCTCACTATGTAGAAGTCGTACCTACAAAAAAAAAAAAAATAAATAAAAAAAAATTTTTTGGTACCTTTCCTACTACAACATGAATGAGCCATATAAATAAATATAACATACCACTCTGGGCGGGTGACCTCTGTGTCAATGACGGTACCTGGAGGAGGATTAGTCATCTTGCCGCCAATCTGGGTGAAAAAGCGGCTGCTGATTCGCTTCTTTACCACCACTACACTCAGCTTGGGCCTTCAATCAATAAGCAGAAGAAAAGTCTATCAAAGCATGTCTATTTTAATTAATGCAATTCCAGCTGTATTCATCTGATGCAAGCCCTTCATTTGCCATCTACAGAAGAGGCCAGAACTCAGAAACAATTAAGTTAATTGGATTACTGTAACTCTAGCTCTTCATATAATTCCAGGGTTAAGGGACATGGCGACAATGTTAAATAGTCAGTACATACAAACAAAAAATTAAATAAAAATTAATGTGTTACAGCAAAGGACTTAGACTTTAGGGAAACAAAAGAAACAAATAAAATAAAAACCAACTCACTCATAGTCTTGACCTACGGACTTGATGGAGTCCATGATTTGTGAAACCTCATAATTGACCACGCTGTGTAGTTGGCCATCCCCTACACCATCGCGATACACTATGATGCGTGAAGGCAGGCAGTTGTTGAACTTCTGGTAATCTTTCAGTGCACCTAAAAACAACACGTCATGGTCATTTTTGACAGAATTGAGCAAATGTCTAATTGCGTGCTGATGTGAGGAAAAACAACTTGCCACTTAGTGCCATCTTCAGTCCATCCATGATTTCTTGACCTTTGTGCTGCAGAACACATTTTGAGTACCATCTTTTCAGAGAGAAAGAAAAAAAAGGTACAAAAAACGTTTTGAAGTCACAAAAACGGGTTAAACAACTAAACTTTATTAACCTTTAATGAATCAGGAAATCCCAGAGATCACAGGTCTTTTCATTTGCAAAGTGGGTCTGTGTTTATCATGCATATTTTTGAACTCAGAGGAAACCGGAGTACCCGGATAACAATGCAACCATAAGAACACACAAACTCCACACAGAAAGATCCCAGGTCCAAACCAGGAACTGAACCCAGGACCTTGTTGTGAGGCAACAGCGCTTAACCAACAATCTGTCAAGCTTGTCTGTCAATATACAATAAAACTGGACCAGCATCCTGCCTGACCTTCAGCTGCCCATCCTGTAGATACTCACCTGCTCATGGTGTGGTTGAGGCTGGCCACCAAAGCTCCAATCGACCGTTTCCCAGCAGTGGTGTCATGGTAGCAGTCAATGCCAACGATCATCAGCTGTTTGAGCTGCACAGAGCAGTTAAAGTTGTGCAATTAAACAAAAATATTCATTTATCTACAATGTGTTAGTTACACTGAGAAACAGAACCAATAAAACACACACACTCACACACACATATTTGACAAGCATGTCAAAACATTTCTAACATTTCCAACATTATCTTCACATTTATGAAATCACTAGGTTTAAAACTGCTTGAGACAGTTATCTTACAAATACAAAACCTGGAAGAAAGCATCCTAGAAAAAAAAAAAAAAGTGTAAAACACGAGTTTTTTCCCCTTCCCATTTTGTTAATGGAAATTCTCATGTAAAAATATATCCAGAATAAGAATTTTTGGTGCTATTGTTACAAAATTTGAACTGGTAATAGGCAAGACTGGATGCTGCAGCCTCATAATTTTCCAGTCCATACCTCCATATTCATAAACAATTTATTTTAAAATTTCAAATAAGAAATTGTGCGTTTCAACTTCAGCAACTACACACTAGTTAGTTATCACTTATATGTATGACACAAAATCACAGTGTGTTACCTTTACAGAGAGAACAAGCTTTTGAATTTACTCAAAAGGGTTAAATAACAGCATTTAATTTAATTTGGGTACATTATGCAGGTGTTTCAGTTTCCTGTTAGGCAACATTTAACAGGACAATAAAAAGTATGATAATGGCTGAAGTAAATTTAAATGTTTAGTGCAACAGTAGATGGAGAGGAAGGAAGGAAAGACGCTTGCTTGAACCAGCTGAAAACATGACAATCCAACATTTTTCAGTCAGGTCATCTGGACAGTTTCTTTTTTTTGTGCTGAAACATTTCACCTTCGGTCCTTTGGATTGTATACCTGGATTATTGAGCACGGACTTTGTTGTTTTCAACCAGTTTGACAAGACTGTCAACAAGGAAGAGGGCCGGCAATGGAGGAGTACCAAAGAGACCATCTTATCACAAGCAGAACTGGTTTATTCCACTTTTGGGTAAGCTGTTGGGGGAAGAATCAGTTTTGTTGTGCGTTTCCTTGACTGATGAAGCCTTCCGGACTGAAGGCAAAACGTTTCAGCACAAAAAAGAATCTGTCCAGATGACCTGACTGAAAAATGTTGGATTGTATATCTGGATTATTGAGCATGGACTTTGTTCTTGTGATGACAAGTTGAGAAAAAACAATATAATAAAAACCCTTGGTCATTATTTTTCTTGACCTTTGTTTAACTAGTCAGATCCCACTGAGATCACAGATCTCTTTTACAAGGGGAGCCTTAGCCTGAAGAAAGAGACATGTTCACCTGTTTGGGGAGGGGGTGCTATAATTGGGGGCTTTGCATATGGTCATCTCAACTTCTAAACTGTAAGTTGCAAATTTGTATATGCTTGTACTCTGCCTGGACCCAAAAAAAAAAAAAAAAAGGTCACTAATATTTTGTTGGACCACCTTTAGCTTTGATTACAGCAGCATTTGCTGTGGCATTGTTTCAATAAGCTTCTGCAATGTCACAAGATCTATCTCCATCCAGTGTTGCATTAATTTTTCACCAAGATCTTGCATTGATGATGGCAGATTCTGACCACTGCGCAAAGCCTTCTTCTGGACTCTGTGGAGGTCCATCCATGTGTGAAAATGATGTCTCATGCTCCCTGAACCACTCTTTCACAATTCGAGCCTGATGAATTCTGGCATCGTCATCTTGGAATATGCCCGTGCCATCAGGGAAGAAAAACTCCATTGATGGAATAACCTGGTCATTCAGTATATTCAGGTAGTCAGCTGACCTCATTCTTTGAGCACATACTGTTGCTGAACCTAGACCTGACCAACTGCAGCAACCCCACATCATAGCACTGCCCCCACAGGCTTGTGCAGTAGACACTAGGCATGATGGGTGCATCACGTCACCTGCTTCTTTTCTTACCCTGATGTGTCCATCACTCTGAAACAGGGTAAATCTGGACTCATCAGACCACATGACCTTCCAATGCTCAAGAGTCCAATCTTTATGCTCCCTAGTAAACTGAAGCCTTTTCCCCCAGTTAACCTCACTGATTAGTGGTTTTCTTAAGGCTACACAGCTGTTCAGTCCCAATCCCTTGAGTTCCCTTTGCATTGTGCATGTGGGAATGCTCTTACTTTCACTATTAAACATACCTTTGAGTGCTACTGTTGTTTTTCGTCAATTTGTTTTCACCAAATATTTAAGTGATCGCCGATCACGATCATTCAGGATTTTTTTCCGGCTACATTTCTTCCTCATAGAAGATGTGTCCCCACTATCCTTCCAGTTTTTAATAATGCGTTGGACAGTTTTCAACCCAATTTTTGTAGTTTCTGCAATCTCCTTAGATGTTTACTCTGCTTGATGCCAATGATTTGACCCTTCTCAAACAGACTGACATCTTTTCCATGACTAAGCGATGTGTTTTTCGACATGGTTGTTTAAGAAATGAGAAGCAACACATTGCACCAGTTGGGGCTAAATAACTTGTTGCCAGCTGAAAGATACTCGCCCATGCAGTATTTATCCAATAGGAGGCTCGTACCCATTTGCATAGTTAAATCCAGGTGGTGACTTTTTTTTTTTTGGGCCAGGCAGTGTATATGTACAGATAGCATAGCCAGCCTATATACAGTGAGGGAAATAAGTATTTGAACACCCTGCAACTTTGAAAGTTCTCCCACTTAGAAATCATGGAGGGGTCTGAAATTTTCATCTTAGGTGCATGTCCACTGTGAGAGACATAATCTAAAAAAAAAAAAAATGTAATCTGGAAATCACAATGTATGTTTTTTTAAATAATTTATTTGTGTGTTACTGCTGCAAAAAGGTATTTGAACACCTGCCAATTAGCAACAATTCTGGCCCTCAAAGACCCGTTAGTCCACCTCTAAAAAGTCTGCCTCCACTCCACTTATTATTCTAAATTAGAAGCACCTGTTTGAGGTCATTAGCTGCATAAAGACACCGGTCCACCCCACACAATCGGTAAGACTCCAACTACTAACATGGATAAGACCAAAGAGCTGTCCAAAGACACCAGAGACAAAATTGTAAACCTCTACAAGGCTGGAAAGGGCTACGGGGCAATTGTCAAGCAGCTTGGTGAAAAAAATCAACTGCTGGAGCAATTATTAGAAAATGGAACGATAGAAATTTAGCCTATGATAGATTGGTCTTTTACCAGCTAACCATACCATACCACTTTATTTATAAAGCACTTAAAACAGCTGCAAGGCCAACCAAAGTGCTGTACAGACAAAACAACAGGTAACGCACAAAGCAAAATACAAAATGAGGTAAATCAGAATATAGACATAAAAACGATGCAGATAATGACGACAAACCAGTGTGGAGTATACAGGATCAAGACACAGATCATCTGGTGTTGAAAGCTACTGAATATTAGTGAGTTTTTAAGCGGGACTTGAAAACAGAGAGGGAGGGGGCCTGTCTGCCAAGCAGAGGTAACTCGTTCCAAAGTCTTGGTCCTGCTACAGAGAAGGCCCTGTCCCCTCTGCGCTTAAGACGAGTTCCTGGAACTGTGAGGAGCAACTGGTCCGCTGACCTCAGGGAACGTGGTGGGACATACGGTTGTAGCAGATCAGAGAGATGGGGGGGAACTGTTCAGTGATTTGTAGACATACATGAGTATTTTGAACCGCAGTAATGCCGTGTCTGAAGTAAAATCGAAGTTGTCAGTTTAATCATTACTTTTTTTTGGTTGAAAACTGTGCGCAAGTGGTGTTCAAGTGTAAAATCAGAGCTGTCAGATTTAATCGTTACTTTTTTAAGTTGAAAACTGTGCGTGAGTGGTGTTTAAGTCTTTTCTTCAAGAGCTAAGTAGCGAAGCTACAAGCTAACTACAGCTGGCTTGCCGTAGTGTTTCTGTATTCCGATGCATGAACAAAACGCTGTCTTCCGTCGAAAGTTAAAGTAAGCGTTGGTCAGCTTTAGAGAAACCTGCTCTCTGATCTGTGAAAAGAACGCTGTGTTGTGTGATTTTTTTTTACTGCGAGACCCTCTGGTCAGAGCCACAGACTCATTTTGTGTCAGCTCCATTAAAGCAGAAGGAGACGCCCACTAGAGGTTTGGAGGTGAAGTGTTTCAGTGTAAAATGCTGCTCTGTTGCTGTTTTAAGCACTTTGGTCACCATCACCATGGTTGTGTAAAGTGCTATAGAAATAATTAAATAAAATTAAAACATATGGCTAAAACTACATTTGATATCTTTTGCACTGTTTTGCACTACAAGAAAGAAGCCTAATACTTGATTTGTTTATTATTTAAAAACTCTCTGGACCTAGTAGTGGAATTTTCTTTGTTCAAAATACATGATGGCAAAAGGACATCCTATGCTTTTTTTTTTTTTAGCAAGTTTTATACCAAAAACATATTGTGATACATATCGTTATCGCCACCCTTCACAATACATATCATGATATGAATTTTATGCAATATCGCACATTCCTATACCATACCAAAAACACCATCCCTGATGTGAAGCATGGGGGTGGAAGCATCATGCTTTGGGGGTGTTTTTCTGCACAAGGGACAGGACGACTGCACTGTATTGAGAGGATGACCGGGGCCATGTGTTGCGAGATTTTGGGGAACAACCTCTTTCCCTCAGTTACAGCATTGAAGATGGTCATGGCTGGATCTTCCAACATGACAATGACCCGACGCACACAGCCAGGAGAACCAAGGAGTGGCTCTGCAAGAAGCATATCAAGGTTCTGGAGTGGCCTAGCCAGTCTCCAGACCTAAACCCTACAGAAAATCTTTAGAAGGAGCTCAAACTCTGTTTCTCAGCGACAGCCCAGAAACCTGGCTGATCTAGGGAAGATCTGTGTGGAGGAATGGACCAAAATCTCTGCTGCAGTGTGAGAAGACCTGGTTAAAACTACAGGAAACGTTTCACCTCTGTAACTGCAAACAAAGGCTACTGTACCAAATATTAACTTTGATTTTCACAGGTGTTCAAATACTTATTTGCAGCAGTAACACAGATTTATTATTTTTTAAATCATAATTGTGATTTCCGATTTTTTTGTTTAGATTATGTCTTTCACAGTGGACATGCACCTTAGATGAAAATTTCAGACCCCTCCATGATTTCTAAGAGGGAGAACTTTCAAAGTCGCAGGGTGTTCAAATACTTATTTTCCTCACTGTATTTAGAAAAATAAAAATAAAAAATTATAGTAACTTAAGCAAATTTTGGTGAATTTTTCTATTTCAAAAGGCCCACATAGTTGTAAAGTGCCAATATAATAAGAATGAAAGTCAGCTGTTGCAAGACAAGTACATGTCTGAATGGGAGTGGGCAGGAGGAACAGTGAAGCGATACGGAACAGAGGTCACACACATGTAGAACATCAAGTACTGAGTCAACTGTCTAGTAAAATGAGGAATGTGGTAAAGAGGTTATAAATAAATAAAAGTCCACACAGGAAAAAGTGGATGAAGAAACGCTTCAGGTACGATTTATGACAAAAGGTTAGCAGCAAAACTCAAGTGAATACATTACAAGAGTATAACTATCAGCGAAAGTGACATGAAGACAGAAAAAGAACTAGAAGTGGCAGAGCTGAATACGTTGAGGTTCTCCTTAGGAGTAATAAGGACACATAAGATTAGGAATGAGATCAGAGGTTGAACAACTGGAAGATAAAGTTAGAGAGACCAGACTGAGATGGTTTGAACAGGTCCAGAGGGAGGACAGTGGTTATATTGGTAGAAGGATGTTAGAAATGCAGCTGCCAGAAGAAAAAAAAAGACATTGAATAAGGTCAAAGAGGAGATATGATGGATGTAGTTAGGGCATGGAAGTAAGGACAGAGGACAAGATAGAGAAGGGTAATTTTATGTGGAGACACCTGAAAATGGAAAAGCTTAAAGAAGAAAAAAGACAGCTTATACTTTAATAGAAAAAGCTGCCGAGAACTTTTATTTTCTCCTCATTATATTACAAATCTATAGTACATAAGATTTAAGGAGCATGAGATTAGCCAGGGTCAGCATGCATTAAGTGACTTGGACCCTGGTAATAACTGCTCCCAGTTCTAGTTGTTTTTTAAATTGATTCAGATCTTTGAGTGAACACAACTTACAGGGATTTCCACGCTCCAGAGTTCACCTCCCATTTTGCAAGCAATCTGCATCACAATCTTTGTTGCCACAGTCATGAGCGTTTGAGGACGGCTGATGGTACGGGCCACCACACACTGGCTTGGGGTGGGACAATCCACACAAAGATACTTTTTAACACTGTCGTACTTGTCCTTGCTGTTGTTTGGAAGAATTACCACCACCTACAAATGGAAAACTGAAGTTTTTAACAATGTTTTGGCTTGTATTGTGAGGGGGGGGGGGGGGGACTTCAGGACACATGAAAAGCAGTTTTCAAGATGCAAATCCTGGGCTTTGTCAAATAAAACTGATTTCTTCATTTAGGTTCAACTTTTAAGCAAATGGGAAAAACCGTCACTAAGCATTCATACATTTGAAAAACAATAAAATAGTGTCAACTTCTATTTGTAGAGACAAGAAAATGTTTACTAGAAGGGGTGCAGAAAAAAAAATCGATTTTACAAAGAATATAGAACCAGTAAATTACTAGTATACTGAAATACAGGAGCTAGTCATAAAATTAGAATATCATTAAAAAGTTGATTTCAGTAATTCCATTCAAAAAGTGAAACTTGTATATTATATTCATTCATTACACACAGACTGATACATTTCAAATGTTTAGTTCTTTAATGTTGATGATTATAACCTACTACTAATGAAAATGACAAATTCAGTATCTCAGAAAATAAGAATACAGTAGTCCCTCGCTACTTTGCAGTTCATTTTCACAGATTCGCTACATTGCGGGTTTTCAAAGTAAGATTGGTCATGACACAATTGGCTGATTGATGGATGAGCCATGGGTTGTTTATTGAAAATAAATTATTTTAAATGAGTTTGCACCATGTATGCAGCCCACAAGTGCAGGGAAAGCTCCCTCCTGCAGCTGATCTCTTTCTCTGCCACACCCACACACTTCTTCTGATGCAGCTTTGTGAAGGGTTAAACGTTTGCTGGCCAGATGCACCAATCGACTTTTGTCTTCCAACTTAAAATTTAAAGTATGTCACATGGTAAAATCATCATAATCACAAAATATAAGTGTTATTTTTAATTAATTTAGAACTTCTATGTTCAGTTGTTTCATTGTAATTGATCAAGAAGTACATTTCTGTTCAGCGCTGAAGAGCTGCATGAAGGATTAACCCTTTGATGTCCTGCTGCAATTCTCTTTTCTACAACTTAAAATCAAGTACTGTAACATTTTAAATAAACAATCCATGCTGCATGAATTGTTTATTTAAAATGTTATAGTACTTACATTTAAATTGTTTATTTAAAGAGGGAGATTGGGAGTAACAGGTGATGAGTGAGTGTGATTGCAGCCTTGGCACGTCATGACAAAGTTTACTGTACTTGAACTTGGGATTACTGTATCCCTACTTAGCGGTTTTTCACTTATCGCAGGTGGATGTGGTCCCCAACACTCGCAATAGACGAAAGACCACTGTATTGTGAAAAGGTTCAATATTGAAGACACCTGGTGCCACACACTAATCAGTTAACTCAAAACACTTGCAAAGGCCTTTAAATGGTCTCAGTCTAGTTCTGTAGGCTACATAATCATGGGGAAGACTGCTGACTTGACAGTTGTCTAAAAGACGACCATTGACACCTTGCACAAGGAGGGCAAGACACAAAATGTCATTGCTAAAGAGGCTGGCTGTTCACAGAGCTCTGTGTCCAAGCACATTAATAGAGAGGTGAAGGGAAGGAAAAGATGTGGTAGAAAAAAAAAAAGTGTACAAGCAATAGGGATAACTGCACCCTGGAGAGGATTGTGAAACAAAACCCATTCCAAAATGTGGGGGAGATTCACAAAGAGTTGATTGCAGCTGGAGTCAGTGCTTCAAGAACCACCATGCACAGACTTATGCAAGACATGAGTTTCACATTACTTGTGTCAAGCCACTCTTGAACAAGAGACAGCATCAGAAGGGTCTTGCCTGGGCTAAAGACAAAAAGGACTTGCTACTGAGTGTTCCAAAATTATGTTCTCTGATGAAAGTAAATTTTGCATTTTTTTGGAAATCAAGGTCTAAGAGTCTGGAGGGAGATGAGAGGCACAAAATCCATGTTGCTTCAGGTCCAGTGTCAAGTTTCCACAGTCAGTGATGGTTTGGGGTGCCATGTCATCTGCTGGTGTTGGTCCACTGTGTTTTCTGAGGTCCAAGGTCAACACAGCCATATACCAGGACGTTTTAGAGACTTCCTGCTTCCTGCTGTTGAACAACTTCATGGAGATGCAGATTTCATTTTCCAACAGGACTTGGCACCTGCACACAGTGCCAAAGCTACCTGTACCTGGTTTAAGGACCATGGTATCTCTGTTCTTAATTGGCCAGCAAACTCACCTGACCATAACCCCATAGAAAATCTATGGTGTATTGTGAAGAGGAAGATGTGATACACCAGACCCAACAATTCAGAAGAGCTGAAGACCACTATCAGAGCAACCTGGGCTCTCACAACACCTGAGCAGTGTCACAGACTGATCGACTCCATGTCACGCCACACTTCTGCAGTAATCCAGACAAAAGGAGCCCCAACTAAGTATTGATGATGTATATGCTCATACTTTTCATGCTCATACTTTTCAGTTGGTCAACATTTCTAAAAAAAAATCATTGTTTTTTTTAAACTGGTCTTAATATCAATTTCTGAGATACGGAATTTGAGGTTTTCATTGTTGTCAGTTACAATCATCAACATTAAAAGAAAAACATTTGAAATATATCCATCTGTGTGTAATAAATATATAAGCTTCACTTTTTGAATGAAATTACTGAAATGAAATCAACTTTTTTATGACATTCTAATTTTATGACCAACAACTATATTAGTAGTATTACTATAGTAACCATTCAATGCTTGGATATTCTGACTACATTACGTAACTAAAACTGCCGGAGAGACTTAATTTAGTAGTCATACCTGTTTTAATACAAGTGGCTCAATTCTGAAAAACTATTTTGGTTGAAAGCTGTGATATTTGTTTCCCTCAGCTCTGCCCTTTACCTGATTCATAGTTTAAATAAAAAAAAAGGAGTATGGATTGTTGTACTGAAATAGAAGGGAAAGCCCTAGAGAAAATTTGGGTACCACTTTACAATAAGGCTCCCCTTATAAATGGCTAATAAATTGTTTATTGATATGTTAATTCCTCTATAAACACTTTATAAATCATTAATAACTGCTTTTTATGCATTAATTAAGTTACTACCTTGTAAGCACAATAAGCATTTGTAAACCTAAATTTTTTAGGATACAATACTGTAATTTATCACTGCATTATAAGTATCTACAACTATTGAAACTCGTATATATGTGTGTGTGTGTATATATATATATATATATATATATATATATATAGAGAGAGAGAGAGAGAGAGAGAGATGTGTGTGTACTAAAATAAAATCTTTACTACTTGAACTACTATTCCTACTTCGCGGTTTATCACTTCAGGTCTTCAGGGTACGGACGCCCTGCGATAAAACGAGGGACTACTGTATAGACGTGTGCATGTTTTACAAAAGTTCTGTTTATTTATGTATAACAACTTATAAGTTACGCAAATATTTCACACCTTTGGTAGATGTTTTAAGACTGAACACAAAAAAGGGGCCTGAACAAACATAATGAGGCAAAAGTTCACTTATGACATCAGTATACCGTACTTTCTGCGGTACGGGTCACACCGTCATATAAGTTGAATCAATCCATAATTGTCTAATAAAGTAGAAAAATCCATAAACATGTTGCTTCGCTGTATACGTTGCATCTATTATGCGTCACCGCTGACAACCTGGACATGTGGGCAGGTGTGCCAAAAAACGATGGGCCACCAAATGGCGGGAGCGTGCACGGGAGGATTTTAACAAGACTAACACTTAAAAACAATTATTTGATTGCTCGAAATTATATTAAAGTGTGTCTCAATCTAACGTTTGCTTAATAAATGCACTTTAATGGTCAAATCAGCTGAATTTCAAAAATAGTTTTGCTGCTGAGGTGCTGCGAAGGATTCACGCGCAGCCTGACCAGCTGCAGCATTTCTTTCAAATTTAACAAGTTAACCACCTAAAAAAAGTTTTTGTTTGCTCAAAATTATAGCAAAGGTGTGTCTCAGTCTAACATTTGATTAATAAATGCACTTTAATGGTCAAATTAGCTGCATTTCGCTGGGGCGGTGCAGCTGGATTGACGGTCGGACCAAGCAGCGAGCAGAACAAAGGTGGGGATGATATGGCAGGCTGACTGTATCATTAAAAGCTGGTGAAGATTCTCAGTCATCCAGGACATGGTAAATTCAAAAAAGTTCAAGAAAAACAACAACAACAACAACAACAACAACAACAACAACAAAAAACCAATAAAGTATAATAAAGTCCAGTTGTTTTTGTCTTGAACTTTTTTGAATTTGTTTTTACAGCCATGTTTTCCTATTACATGATACAACATGCCATACCTCTATTACTACTCTGCTCCCATCAAGTGGCTGAAAGTGGTACTGCTCTTTTTTTTTTTCAGTAAGAATGAATGGAAACGGTCATATCTCAGGCAAAAATAGTTTATAAATATGGGGAAAAAATCCATAAATATGTCGCTTTAGCCTATAAGTCGCAGGGCATGCAAATTATGCAAAAAACTGACATATACAAAAAAAATATGGTATGTGAAATTTCTTAGTAACAAACTCCTGTCCTATGCTTGCTTCCATAGTTCTACTCTCTCTCATTTCCTCTATTAGTTCAAGAATATTCAAAGTACCCACAATTTTTATGAGAAAAGCCAAACAGACCATTTGTGTTTCAGGTCCAACATTGTGCTGCAGTGCCTTGAGGAGAGACAACTGACGATCTTCAAACTCAATCCTTCAAACAAGAACAGACATCAATTATTAAAGTTCCAATTCCTAAGTTGAAAAGAAAAGTTAGCATGTTTTGAGTATTGGATTTCAATTCTCATTAAGTCATAGATTCAACCACTTTATTTTTAGTAAATGATAAAACTTCTGGCCAGTTTAGAAGATGCATTTTTGAATAAATACAAAAACATTTAAATACAGCAGGGTTCATCTACTCCAAAATGTACCAAATGCTCCAAAGTTTCACAAACTGGATGAAATTTGGTTGGTTAGTGCCATTCTTAGCTTTGGCATTTCTCATACAGTGAAAATTAAACTTACACAACTGCTCTCTGCATACGAATGCCGAGTGGACCTGAGACTTTGTTAAGGGTCTGCAGGAGGGACTGCGCTTCCATGTTGTTTCGAGGGGCATGAAATATGAGCCAGTCATTCAGTGAAGGCGAGCTGATGAGAGGTATCCCACGCATTTCTCTGGACCAGTCAGCTGCCTGAGGATTGTACTCGTACTACAAAACAAAATGTTGAACTACAAGTTTAGATCATAATCCACTCACATCTTAAGTCTAACCTTCATAGCCAGAATAGCATACCGATCGTGATCCCTGGAAAATCCTCTCCCCTCCAAGAACACGGCCAGTCAGGCTTAGTAGCTGCTTGTCAAAGCTCAGTCCCCACTTGCCCAGTTCTGCTTGAGCATCAGCGTTCCTATGAAAATACAGTCAAAGTTAAACCAAATCAGCCAGGGAACAAACAGTTTACAAGCAGTTAAAAAAAACCTTTGGACTAAATGGACAACGCAAAGGGCAAATCTTAACCTGCACAACTAACAGGATGCTAAGATGCAGTTTATGCAGCCAAAATTAATTTCAGTAATGACATTTGATGAGTAGCTTTTCACAACTAAACACAGACTAAAGGCACGTTCACAAAACAATTTAAGTCAGGACTTCTACCTTCTGGCTGTTGGTGTGATTTATTTATTTATTTATTTTAAGAACCGATGTGGGTTGAAGTGCCTTTGTGTTGCAAAGTGAGGAATTACTAGAGCCAAAATGATCAGCAAGTGAAAAAGTAAGCCAGCTTTGCTGATCATTGGTGTGATGACGTGGTGACATAAGGTCTGTACAACCACCAGGTCACAAGATTTAACAACAAACAGATTTATTCAGATCGATGATGAAGCACAGCAACTTTACATTTAGTTTGAAAAAAAAAAAAGTTTTTAAAAAAGATTCACTACTTTTATCAAGTTTTGAAAATAACAGGGAGAGGTCTGTCACACATTTACTCATCGCACCCCACAGTAACAGCGGAGTTCAGCTCTACACCACTTTTGGTTCCACAAAGCTCACTTCATTTCTGAAAGTTCACGTCAGTGTGGGACGTATCTGAATCTGTCATTTGTGAACAGTCAGAGGCAGAAGAGACCATATTGTATAAATATTTGGTGAAAGTTCTTACAATTAGTTTAATAAAGTTTTTATATCCGTTATACAGTTGCATTGTTTTAAAGCTAGGCACAACTCATGAAAGCACAAAACATTTGATCATGAAAACATTGTCTTTAAATGACATACCGTTGTATGTTGGCCATAAAACTGTTCAGACGCTTTTCCCTCTGATCTGGGTTCAGTCTAGTGTGGGTACTCAAGTCCTTCATGATGGTGAAATCCTTTCTCATCTTGTCCGTCAGGCCTTCAAAAAAAGTTTAGCTTTAAATTTCAAAATATTTCACCAAATCATTTACAACAAATCTCATTTGAATAGACCCAACTTTTCTAAACCATTAGCTGCACAAAAAGTTTAGAGGTTTGTCTGCATCTGACTAAAATCTAGATAGTGATTTTTGTATAAACTAAAACACAAAGTCATTGCTAATTGGGCTAAACTATTCATACTGATGCAACAGGAGGAAACAACCATTGCTTTATAGTAAGGTCATGGTGCAGGATAAAGATGAACCTGTCAGATAGCAGAGTTCTGGCACAAGCATAGCTGGCCCAGGAGGAGTCGGTCCAGCAACAGTCACCTTCTTCACGTGGCTGACAAGCAGCACCTGGTTCTCATCTGTGATATCCAAGCCATATTGCTACGGACAGAAACAATAAAATGAGGAAAAAGAACAGTGAGGATATTTTAACAAATGCATACAAAAGTCAAATTTATACAAAACAAAATATAACCATCACAATCTAAATAGAAAACAAGCATCTGTTTTGTCTTAAATCTGTGTTATTGTGTGTGTGATAGAGCAGAATGGTTTGTGTCCAGTAAAACACGCAAGTATGAATAACTACACAGGTAAATCATACACCTCAATCACTTCAAGTCTCTTACAGTGCAATGCTGTATTTTCATGACATAACACTGACATAAATAAGGAGGCTTGTGTGGGAAAACAGCAGATGCACTGGGGGGGGATCATAATATATATATATATATATATATATATATACATATATATATATATATATATATATATATATATATATATATATATATAAATTAAGTGTGTAGCATTGTCACAGGTTAGTGAACTCCACAAGAAAACATCAGGTGCTTTACAATTAGGATAATGCTGACAAGAAGCTTGGCTCACAAGAAAGAACAAAGATGAGGATGACCAATTACATCTGGCAATATGAAAACCAAAACCAACACGTACGCATGCAACAGTTTTCTCAGATTTTTGGCACAGAAGGAATAGATTGTAACACAATATCATCTTAAAAGCTGCATCTCATTGGCACTGGTCTTCTTGATCAGCTATTGTAGGTACTATTTATTGTATGCATTTTATTTAATTTTACATTCTATCATTTATAAAACTTTTTAACTCTTAAAATCTAAAATAGACGTTTTTATTGTATTACCACCATGTCCCGTCTAGAGTGCAAATGTACTTTTTTTTTAAATACAGGGCTTAAAGTGAATAAATAATCCTGGGCCTGAATTTTTTTTTTTGTGGCGTTGATGGAATAAAATCGTGACATATTGCTAACGTTTATTTCAATATATTTTAACTTAAACAACGAATATGTGCCCCCTGCCCTGCAGCAAATAAAAACCCTCAAAAAGACTCAACACCACATTAACACACGTTTCAGTAAATTAATTTGCAATACATTTAGAATACTCAATATCACAATCTAAAAGGAAGAAGTTCCACAGAGCTGGTTTTATGACTCCCAGCCTTCTAAATAACTTTCAGAGTAGGAGCTGGAGTCATTTCCAACATCAACACAAAGATGGTCTGTGCAGTGAAAATGTTTTTGTGAACACAGACTGTTTAAACTCTAATGAAAATGTCTTACCAGCATTGACGTCAGAAGCATTTGTAAGGGGCGGGGGCAGGTATACTGGTGTGTGTGTGTGTGTGTGTGTGTGGGGGGGGGGGGGGGGGTTCTGGGGGTCCTCCCCCAGAAGATTTTGAATAAAGTAGATGCCATTTCCTGTATTCTGGTGTATTTTAAGGGGTTAAACATCTATGTTTTCCTACATAAGTAACTTGATTCAAAAACTATTTTAGAGAGCAACAAGAAGTAGCCTGACCAACAGCTCTCCTCGTGTGAGTAGAGCATGCTCTGCTCACCTCGAGCATCCTAACACCCCAACAACTGCCGACACTGAGGTAGCGCAAAGATACGAGTGTCATACAGAGGCGTCTCCCCCTCCTCTCCCCACCCTTTCCACAAAAAAACATTAAGAGATGTGTCCCCTGCCAAGACAAGTAACCTGGGGAAACACTGCATGCAGTGAGGAGTTGTTGAAAACTTGAGTGGACTTTTAGTGCTTTGAGTATTCTTCTATTAATCAAGTGGAATGGATTTGTTCACAAAGAAATGCAAACAACACTGGGTGAACTAATATTTCATGGTAAATGTGTGTGTGTGTGTGTGTGTGCGGGGGGGTTCCAAACAATTTTTTTTAATTAAAATTTTTTTTAAATGTGAGGGGGAACATGTCCTCTTCACATAATTGATGCGATGCACAGCTTTGAATTTGTTCACTTGTCTTTTAACAAGAAAGCCACAATGTTCCCCAACAAGAGACTGCAACGAGAAGCTAATGCAAATGCTGCGCGTGCTGCAAGATAATAGCGCCGTGCTGAAACACGCTTAGGAACTTTAGTTCCGCAGCGCATAATCTCTTGTTAATAAAATTTGATTAATGAAAAAAATAACCAAAACGGTACGCATGTGGACCGAACCGAACGTGCCGTACCGAAACGGTTCAATACACCCACGTGTACCGTTATACCCCTAGCAGCAGCTGTCAATCAGTTCTGTAGAGATGACATACATTTTATAATACAGTAATCTAATAAAGAATTATTTCACAACAAATGTTTCTTTATTCTTTATCTTGCAGCTCCCAGCTGAATTCATGCAGATGAAAAACCTCAGTTTTCTCCAACTACAGACGATATTATCTTATTTGAATGAGATGTTTTTAACCCTTTAACTTTATTCATGTTCCTCAGGGGGAAAATCAACCATCTTATTTAAGCTGTCAGCCTCAAATGAATATATCTAATTTAAATTATTGTTTTCATTTTTTTTATGCTTGTAGAGTTTTTGTTTAAAACATTTACATTATTTTTTATTGACAAAATATTTATTTTACTGTAAAAAATTTATTTAAGTATATTTTTCTCTACTAGTCTTCCTTCTGGGTCAACATCCACTTCCTCCACTGTTCTCCAGAGCTCAGAACTGATGTTTGGTTCTGGACCCCCTCCTCTGTGCAGTCAGACCTGGGCTCGGTCCGCTCTTCCTCTTCTAAAACAAATGATCTTCCTCTTCATCACCCACCGACTCACCCCCACTCCCGCTGACTTTATCACGCACTGAACTCCATTCAACTTACACGTCTTTTTCTTATTTTTCCTATAGATTATTTGGTGCTTGACAAATGACTTCGAACCTCCGTCAGAAGGGGGGGGGGGGGGGGTATGTGTTCAGTGGTACGAGTGGTGGGGGGCTGCAGCCTCTCACTGTAACACGCTTGAGATTTGACTTTTTTCAGAAAAAAGATGTGGCGTGGATTATTTATCACAACTCTTTATTTTTCCGTGGCCTATCAACGTGATATTAAAGCAATTTAAAATCTGTAGTTTTGACACAAATTTAAAGGGAGTCTCTGAGACGCTGTGGCTAGAGACTGAAATCAGTCATTTGACCTAGGCGCCTGCACTTTGATTCGCTCCAAAGGGGGACACATCGTCAGTCAGAGTAGGTGTCGGACACTTGAGTAGGAGGCAAAATTGCCTCCCGTTATGGAGAAGGCAGAGCGCCACTTGCTTCGCCAGTAAAAGTATATTTTATCCCGGTCCGCCTTCCTGTTAATAACTGGTCAATGCAAGCTTCAATGTGATTGGATGTAATCCCTGTCTATCAACCAAAGTTAAGTTGAGGCGGACCGGCGGGCTGTCTCGCTGTCAAGCCAGAAATCTGGCCCAGGGCCGGAGCGCTTTAAGCCCCATTAATAACTTGAGCACAATTTATTTGCATAAAATACAAATTATGGTAATTGTGTTCTCAATTCACATTGAGAAAAAATATTAACATTTCAGCAAGACCCCTGCAGCTCCAGTTTGAACACTTACAGTCTTGTAGTAACTCTTGAAGGAGATTTCTGCATCTCCCCTCTTGAATGTGTTTGTCGGTGTGTGATCCCATGCAATATCATCAATCCTGTAGGTTTTGTTGTTGTACCTGGAATTTTTAACAAGCACGCAGCAAAAAACAGGTTAAGCGAGGTTCCAAAGTGACAAGTGATACACCAGCATCCCCTGTATCTGAGATTTGACCAGTGAATGTTTGTAGTTTGAGTGTTTTTCTGGACTGTACTTTGATGTGGCAATCCCAATTCTCATAAGGAAACTTTCTTGCGCCTAGATGTAGCCACACACCAAAATGGAAGGTGATAAACTTATTTTTCAAGATATCATGCTCACAATAAGGACAGATATTTATAGCATTAACAATCTTGAATTTTGACCCAACTCAATTTTTGATAGGGACCTTTCTTACACCTAGATGTAGCAACGCACTAAAATAGAAGTCAGCGTGTTGTTTATTTTCCAAGTTATTCAGCTCACAGGGTTTACATGTGTACATGTATGGAGGGAGCCATTTTGGATTTTAATGTGGCAACTCAATTTTCAAAAAGGACATTTCTTATACCTAGATACAGCCACACACCAACATGGACGTCTGTACCGCACTTATTTTTCAAGTTATGCTCTACATGCATGAATGGACGAATGGCATTTCCAATCCCCCCACTTCGCTCTGTGATGGGGTACAACATCCTCAGTGACATCATATAGTACCAAGATTTGCAAACAAATGCATGTATTTTTATAAACTTACTTTGTCAGAACTATAAGGCCAATAAGCTCCTTGGTACAGATCTCAGGGTAGCGCTGACTTCCACATTGCTGTCTCAGGTTAACCATGAAGTCGAGCACAGTCTCACTGCGCAGAACCTTGTGACTCACGTCAGTGCACATCATGATGGACGACTCGTAGCGCAAGATGGTGGTGGTGTATCCTGGCCAAATGGTTAGCCTAAAATCAAGCAAACACGAAATGTCTTTCATTCAAAATCTTATTACTAGTTTAATTCAAAATTATTTTTAAATCTTTAATTACCTATAGTCAAAACTGAATCTCGCTTGCTCTTTCGCATTGCATGAACAAATATTTAAGTTGAATTAGCAAACATAAATTTACTACACATTTTAATGCAAAGAAAAATGGATCTTGTACTATGTGTATACTTATATAGTTTTTGCTAGTTCACATATATTTTTAACATTAAAAATAGCATAGGAAAAAAGTGTCATGTGATTAGCATAAAGTTTTATGCAGAATCACCACCAAAATATGGTGGAGGGGTTTGAGTACTCCTGTGATCAGGGGGGTTATGCTGTCAGGGACATCAGCCCCTGGTAGAGTCTCCCATGGCAAACAAGCCTCAGGGAGGAGGTGGACAAAAAGTGAATCAAAACCTTGATGAAAATAACAACTGATACTTTAGGAAACTTTGCCCAGGAAAGGGAAATTGGGGCACCTCCCAGGAGCCAGGCCTGCGGGGTGGGGTCTTGCCAAGGAGTGTCTGGTGGTTGAGTCTTGGATCCTGGGACTCGGCCAGGCCAAGCCCTAAAAAAAAAAAAAACAACAGGAAGCCGCCACCGCCACACAGATTCACTACCTGCAAGAAGCATCCAGCTCGGGTGTTGTGCATGTCAGGCAGCAGGCAAGGGAGGGTCCCTGGCCATGCGGATTCCTCGTTGCATTAACTAGCTCTAGGGATATGGTGGGTAAGGAGGCGGAGCTTGTGTGAGAGGTTGAATGGTACTAACTAGATATAGCCGAGTTCACCTCTAAGCACAGCTTGGACTCTGGAACCCAACTCCTGGACAGAGGCTGGACTCCCCTACTCTAGAGTTGCCCAGGGAGAGAGGCAGGTGTGGAGATGCTCACAAGCCCTGGGATGAATGTCTTCGTGATGGAAGTTTTCCCTGGTGAACGAGGATTGCCTCTCTACGGTTTCAGGCTGCAGGAGGGAACGTTCTGACAGTTGTTTGTGCCCCTCGGGGTTTGAGATGTAGTAGAGGTAGGGCAGCCGGCATGGTACCAGAAAGTCACGGTTTGACTCCCAGCCATTCCCACATGTTGTGGTGTCTCTGAGCAAGACGCCTAATCCCTAATTGCTCCTTGGGCACTTGCATAGCTGCCCACTGCTTCACCTGAATGCATCTCAGGTGCGAGGAGTTAAATGCAGAGAACCAATTTTGTCATTGTATGGGAACATAAAATGACAACTACAGCATTTTAGTTCGGTTTTTTGAGAGTCCCTGGATGTCGTCCTGCAAGGGGTGCCGTCTGGGGATTCCCTTGTTCTACTAGGTGACTTCAATAGCCATGTGGGCAATGACAGTCATCTGGGAGGGGGATGATTGAGAGGAATGGCCTCCCTGATTTGAACACAAATGGTGTTCGCGTATTGGATTTGTGCTAGGCATGGGTTGTCAATAACAAACATATTTGAGCATAGAGTGGACTTGGTACCAGACCACCTTAGGTCAAAGGTTGATGATCAATTTTGTAATCTTGTCATTGGACCTGCGGCCCCATGTCTTGAACACTTGGGTGAAGAGAGGGGCAGAGCTGTCAACTGTTCACCACTTGGTGGTAGAGTTGCATTCAGGTCCAAAAAATCCGACCTGACCCCAGCCCGTAGCCATAATTTCCGAACCTCACCAGATCTGACGAATTAACAGTAATTACAGCTCCGAAATACATTCTAGAGTTGTTAGGTTATGTTGTTGTTTTAAGTTAAAACTATTAATATTGACAAAGTTGAGTTTTATGTTTATCTGACTATTATTTCAACCTTTTTTGAAGGCTAAATACAAATAAAAGGTGAACATTAATTTATTTGTACAGTTTTTCTGAAGCTTTTATATTGTTTATATCAATATTGAATTGTGTCAATATCGAACTAAATTAAGAAATATATTGTGAAAAGCTTTGGCCATACCGTCCAGCCCTAGTGCAACCCGTTTTTTCACATTTTAATGTTAAAAAGTCTTTAAATGACAAGTTGCCACCAACAGCAGCAGTTTTGACAGTGAACTTTTTTCTGAGGCTTTTATATTGTTTATATCAATATCGAATTGTGTCATTATCGAACTAAATTAAGAAATATATTGTGAAAAGCTTTGGCCATATCGTTGAGCCCTAGTGCAACCCGTTTTTCCACATTTTAATGTTATAAAGTCTTTAAATGACAAGTTACCACCAAAAGCAGCAGTTTTGACAGTGAACTTCACTGTAGGCGAATTCTAGATTACAGGTGATGCTAAGGAATTGCGACCGTTGTCTATCAAAAACAAGGCAATAAAAATAAATGGACTGTAAATGGTAAATAGACTGTACTTATATAGCGCCTTTCTATCTTATTTCAAGATACTCAAAACGCTTTACACTTCAATCTGTGCCTCATTTACCACACAAAGCTAATTGAACAAATCATTCTAATGAGAATAATCAGTGCTTTAGATCACATTCATACACTGATGGGACACATCAGAGGTTATGAGGGGTTCAGTGTCTTGCCCAGGGACACTTCAGCATGTGACTGCTGGTGGATTCGAACCCCCAACTCTCGCATTGGAGGACGACTGCTCTAACCACTCAGCCACAGCCGCCCAAGTGCTATGAAAGTACAAACACCAAGTTTGTAAATTGACAGCTGTGTCTTCTCACTTCTTATATGTGACCATTATTCAAATTAGATTATAGTTTGTTTTTTGGCTGTTGTACTTACACCGACTTGTGAAGCAAAATTTAAAACTGGGAATTTAAATACTGTAAGTTAAACAAAAAATATTATCTTAAATCTTATATGGTAATAGTTACATTCTTCTACATCTTTAACTCAGAAAATGACAGCTTACACTTTAGGAATGCTGCACTTTGCTCACAAATTTTGAAATGCACAATTTATAAAGAAATAAATTGTTGACATACTTGTGCTGTGAAATGTTGAGTGGATCATTAGGGTTGTAGTAGTTTCGTCCAATCTGTTGCATGTTAAGAATCCTCAAAATCCTGTAAAAAATAAACACATTAAACTTTACATTACCCAAAACACAATAAAATGAAACTGTTGATGTATTTTATCCCTTACTAAGTAAAAGTTTTTAAAACTTTAGAAAATGTAAAACTTACCTTCTGAACATGATATTGTAAAACTGAATGCACACTGGTGATGTAGGTGGCAACTCATTTGTCAAAGTGACAGTTATCTGAACCTTCTCCCCATTCCTCGTCTCACTATGAAGTACAGTCTCCTACACATCCAATTCATCACGTTCGTAAAAAAGAAGAAAAAGGTTTGTTCAAATGTCGTGGGGGGAGTGGCAGATAACAGATCCTTCACAACTTTTTTTAAATTGAGCCACCACCTAAAGTCAAATTTTTATACAGTTTGATCACTTTTGTACAGTGTCATCAAAAATGTTGCATTTATGACTTTTCCAACCAGTACATCTAAATATTAAATAGTATACGTTTGACAGTAGCGATGATACAAAAATAAGCTTTACAGTTCATGTCAAAGGAAGTAGATAGGAACAGATATAATTTGTTGATACCTTGCTATGAAGTCTTTGAGGCAGAAAAAGCAGGGCTCCATCAAAGCTGCGTGCTGGACCAAGTACTTCTTCATGATGGAAGAGAAGGGCAGATCTCAGGCGCCGTGATTCCATAGGTGGTTTGAAGTCCACGTGGTATTGATACAGGACCCACTGGGGACGGGACAGGATGCGTATAAAGTTGGCTGACAACTTTATAACAGCTCCAGATGTACCTGTAGAAGTACAAGTAGAAATTTAGGGATTATTCCGTTCCCTCACACCATACTACGTAAAAATGTGCTGGAGTATGCTAACTTAAATTGACTAACCAGTCTTTGAGTCCTTCACATGCTCCATTGCTTGTCTGGTGTTAATTCCTGTATCATGAAAATCACGACGGTGTCCACCTCTTTCTCCCAGCTTCACCTGCTGAAATCCAGCTGAAATCTGTAGAACAGCTAATAAAAAAAAAAAAGACATTAGGACAGTCGCGACCAGTATGAACATCAAGTGTAAATTAGAAATTTCAAAATAATGAATTTTAATACGGCAATTTTACACTGTATATTCTAAAAAATAGGCTTTAAAGAGCATTGAATAAATAAAATACATCCAATTATTTATGTTATCAAGTCTGAGTTCTGTAATTTCTCATGCTCAATTGTTTTGGTTGTACTGATACAAAAAATATATCACAAGTTTGACTGTACCTTCTTCAGAAAAGGGTCCTGGAGTAGTTTTCTGCCTCCCTCTACCAACCAGCTCCCTCCCTGTAACAGGGGCAGGAGCTGGTGCAGGCTCCTGGGCCTGACTCTGTAAGGGGGAAGAAAATAAAAATGTAGTTTCATTTAAACAGGATTTGTGGCAACATGTGTTATGATGGGGTCGACATAAGCGGTTTCCCTTTGTCTGGGACAACCCATTTTCATCCTGAACAATCAGATCTCGCCTCGAGGCTGTCCTGTGGACAACCAAGTGAAATAGATTAAAGTTTCTGTCGCAGCGACGGATTTCTGGCACTTTTAAAAATGAAAGGGGAGAAGAAAACATCAACAAAAAAAAGTGTTTCTTGTGGTCTTTTAAAAGCCATTCAGTGATAATCCTCTAATGGCAGAGGGATTAAACTGTCAATTCTTTCAACAAACTAAACAGTTCTACCCAACTGGAGCAGAGCAGGGTGGGTTGTGCTGTCTGATTCATGGTGGGCATGCGTAGTAAGAAAGCGATATAAACGGTACACGGTAGAAACGATAAGAGATTTAGCCTACGATAGAGAGCTGTCTTCTACCGGCTAACCGCAGTAATGCTGTGTCTGATGTAAAATCAGAGCTGTCGGTTTAATCGTTACTTTTTTAAGTTGAATGTGCACGAGTGGTGTTAAAGTATTTTCTTTGAGAGCTAAGTAGCGAAGCTACAAGCACACTACGGCCAGCTTGCAGTAGTGTTGCCGTATTCGGACGCATGCACAAAACGCTGTGTTCCATCGAAACGTGTTTTTTTTCCGTCGAAAGTTAAAGTAAGCGTTGGTCAGCTTTACAGAAACCTGCTGTCTGATCTGTGAAAAGAACGCTGTGTTGTGTGATTTTTTTACTGCGAGACCCTCTGGTCAGAGCCACAGACTCATTGTGTGTCAGCTCTCCTTAAAGCGGAAGGAGTCGCCCACTAGAGGTTTGGAGGGTGAAGTGTTTCAGTGTAAAATGCTACTCTGTTGCTGTTCATTTCTGAAGTGAGAAGACTGGAAACTGTTAAGAGTTAACAACATATTCTTTTGTTTAAAACATATGGCTAAAACTACATTTGATATCTTTTGCTCTGTTTTGCACTACAAGAAAGAAGCCTAATACTTGATTTGTTTATTATTTAAAAACTTTCTGGACCTAGTAGTGGAATTTTCTTAATTCAAAATAAATGATGGCAAAAGGACATCCTATGCTTTTTTTTTCATTCCTATTGCAAGTTTTATACAAAACATAACGTGATATGAATTTTATGCCATATCGCACATTCCTAATGCGCAGTGTTCCCATCTTAGAGAGGCTGCAGATGAGAGCACCAATCTGTGTTTCCTGTACTACTTTATGAAGACACCCCACTGCCCTAACCGAAGGTGATGACATCTAATAAGTTATTAAAGTCTACATTTTAAACATATGTATGAGGGAGGAGGCTGCATCTGCTGCTTTAGTTCTTTTAACAATAGTAACACTAAAAGATATATATTTATTGTTCCAAGATTTTAGCCAATCTGTTTGTCTCTAACTTCCCCTAAACTCACAAAGTTTTGCCTGTGAGAGTCAGTTTCAGGTGTTTGTAGTTTATCATAAATGTCTAAATAATTCAGTTTTACACAGTGTTTTAGCAACAAGGTGTTTGGATGTACTAAGCTTGATTATATTTAGAATCATACAGAGAAGTAACTGTACGGTGACAAATGCAATTTAATAAATGGTAAAATAGGAAAAATAAATAGTATAAATTACAGCATGTTCTGAAATTCTGTCAATAGTTTTTCTTTGAATTAAATACCATTAGTCATTTTAGAGGATAAATTGTCAATCTGGCAAATAAAAATGAAAAATAAGATGCAAGTTAATTTATACTCTGAAAAAGGATTTTGTGCTATATTTTTAAATACATCGCACAACCCCTCAATTGAAAACACTGAAATGCAGCGTTTCTTCTACCGTTATCCAAGGAGGGCGCCTTGCCCCGTCAACAGAAGCAAGCACCCTACCTACCAAAATGTCCTTTAACCATAGCTCCACTACCCTACCACCCCGACTCTGATTTTTATAAATTGAGTTTTGTGAGCGAGTTAAATTGAGAGCTTTTTAAAGACCATCAAGATTAAAACGTAAAGACCTACATAAATTACAACTAAAATGAGACTTGTAAAATGTATTTTTAAAAAGGAACCAATTTGGTTGCCTTAGATTCAAAGTCAACCCAATAAAAAAAAAAATTAAATAAACAAGTAATGTATAATCTCCCCAAAAGTTACGCATGTGGCGAAGTGTATTTTTGGTTCGGTCGACCTAGTTTTGGAATTCAGCACCAGAAATGGTTTCCATAAAAGTGGCTGTATCAAAAAGTTTTTTTTGTAGTTTGTTGTTAAAATTTCTGGACAGGCTGATGACATAGTATACCCAACAATCACTGTACTCGTATTCAAAATATTTCAGCTCAGTTTTGCATTATTAATGTTTAGCGCACAGCCTAGTGTATATCTTAAATCCTTATATACCGTTTCTTTTTACACTTTATATTTTTATTATTGTTGGCTGTAACTGGGACCCTGTGTACACAATTTCATTCCACCTCATGTACCACATGTGGTGAGAATGACAATAAACCTACATGAACTTGTTATTTCCAGATGAATTTACAAGATTTTTCACTATGAAAATTATTCACAAATTCACTGAACATGTTCCTGAAAACAACTAGCATATTGTTCTACAGGCACTTGTAGGGTCAAGGGAAGGAAAAACCGTGAAATATAGAAGTCATTAACAAGCAAGGAAACATAAATTACATTAACAACAGTTCATTGTCAAAGTCAAACGATAACACTACTAAGCTTGAAAACATTTGAAAGTCTTTTAAAATGGCTTTTAAACCATTTTTAAAAGTAGAAACTGAGACAAGTATTTGGTCTTTAGTGTTGTTGACCAGGTTAGTCACATTGAGCCTCGAGGACTCGTAATTTACAAGTTTTACAAGTATTACAAATATTGAGAATGGGTGTTTTACTTCAAAACCGGTGCTAGTTGCAGTACACGAGTTAAAATATGGAGGTGAATAACCCAGATGTGTCTTATAAATGAGTGTAAACCAATGAATTTCACGACGCAGATAAGGCCATTTACCAAGGGGGCAGAGGAGATAATGATGTGTTCTAAAGGAGCATTTGTAACAAAGTGAATAGCAGAGTAATAAATTGTGTTCAGCTTATGAAGGACACCCTTACATGCATGTAAATTATGGCTCCATAATCCAACAAAGGTAAAATGTTTTTTGTGACAATGAAGCATTTTGCAGACAAACTAACTCACAACCTGCTTTTTTTCCATTACACCACCTTCAGGTTGCACTTCAGGTCAACTTGAATATGCTCCCACTTTTCATTACATGTGACATAATGAGGTTAATTTTATTTGTCACACACCCACATGACAGCCACTTTGTTTCAATAAAACCAGTACAACAATATAATGAAGAAAGAAGGTAATGACTGACACTGGAACATGAGCAGAAATGCTTTTCAGACATTTGCAAGTAGTAGGATGAACAGAACCTCTTACCGCTCCAGGAGCAGTGGTCTCTTGACCACGTGCTCTGCCTCGTGATCTTGCTCGTGCCCTACCAGACATCTTGGCTAGTGTTCGAGGCACCTGCTGTTCAGAGAAAAAATAAAAAGTACAATATTTATATTAATAAGGTTTCTACCGTAATTTCACAAACACAACTTTCTTAATATAAGCTAGACTGGTGAAAAGAGTAAGAAAAATGCTCAGCTACCTAGCTTTTCACAGCGATGCTAACAAGGCCTCGTTAATGCTAATTTACAAACATGTGGTAGCCTACCTGCTAACAGGTACATTTAAAATATTTTAAAATAAGAAATATTATGGAAAATAATGTCCGATAAGCCGAGGCAAATATATCTAGACTTTTCATGGCTTGTCACGTAGTTAAACAACGATTAACCTTTTTTCTTTAAAGAAAAAAAAAAGCGGTATTACTTTTTCTGTTGTTGTTATTGCTAGTATGTTTGTTAAATTTAGTTTTAAAAAAGTACTCACTTGTGGACAATTTCTTTAATCGGTAAAAAAAAACTTGCTTCTCCACAACTATTAAGGACTACACCAACTGAAGTAACAACCTTCCGATGATAATTATGCCAGAACTACTTTTTTTTTGGGGGGGGGGGGGGGGGGGGTGGATGCGTCACCGGATAATAATATATGTTTTTCTGGCCAAACCTTGGGTTTTATGGCACATAAATATTTTTACAAGATAAACTATTTACATAAAATTAATACAAATGTTATCTAAGAATTACAACAACAAAAAAATGTAAGTATTCACAACTGAAAGAACTATTTCTTGAAGCGCAGTATTACACTGCTGTTCTTTGTGAGCTCCTTAATGGTGTAATTTCAATTAAGGCCAGCAGATGGAGCCAAACGCTTAATTTGCAGTCTTTTTGGTCAGAGAGTAAGAATAGCAATTTAACATTTTAACATCTCAGATATGCTTTTTTAATTAACAAACTGACAAGTTAGCATTTGAGCTTTACCCTTTCAGCGTGATAAAAGTGAAAATGACTGCCATAGTCTCCCTCTCAAAATGAAAAACCAAGTCTAATTTATAAATTTATAATCCCATACAGACAAATGCTGTGTATAACTATTATGCTTTTTTGAATAGTAAACTCGCCAAATGTGAAAAGTATAGCAGTGGTCCTCAATCCTGGTCCTTATATCCAATATCCTGCATGTTTTAGATATTTCACTGCTCTAACACACCTGATTTAATAGCTGAATCACCTCTTTGTGTTCTGCAGAAGCCTGTTGCTCATCCGCTGATTTAAATCGAGGTGGCCTGCGAGAACCAGGATTGAGTAGTGTATAGCTATACAGCCAAGAAATACATGAAGGCTTCTTTTAAAGCTGAATAATTACATTTAAGTTTAATAATCTTTCATTTGTGTCAAGAATAATTTCACAAAGTCAGGACTTTTTTTTTTTTACTTCTTTTGAGTGAAGCTCAATCTTGTGTTATTATTTCTTGCCAAACTTTTCCTTTCTGCTCCACATTCTTCTTTTTGAAAGGGAACCTGGCACCTCAGAGGGCATCTTAGGAGGATGTATGCACGTCTTTCATGTCTGAGATCTAAGACTGATTATATATTCAGACCTGAGGGACGATTCTGGGAGGACCTGCTTTAGTCACTGTTTACCTGCTGGAGAATGACTGAGGAGAGATGAAGCAAAAGACAGTGACTTGAATGTCATCAAGGCCGACTCGTGTAAAAATGGGAAACATAAAGCACAAGAGAGATGAAAAAAGCCAAGCATTCCTTTGAGGAATGCATATCACCCACTGCCTTTCAAGTGAGAGTTTTACACTAAGATAATGAAGTTGTAGCCGTTTTGTTCAGATCTCGAAATTAATACAAAATCATACACACTATTGCAAAATGCCATGCTCAGAGGTTTTTTCTTTTTCTTTCGGCTTCTCCCTTCTTCAGGGGTCACCACAGTGAACTAACTCGCACGCAGATTTGGCAATTGTTTTTACACCGGATGCCCTTCCTGACACAACCACAGACCACCGAGCTACCACAGCCCTCTTGTGTGGAGCAGAGAGTTAAGGGCCCAGAGTGGGGCAAATGAAGGTGGAGGCAGGTGTGGACATTTCACTTTTCCCACCCACATTTTGATGTTGTCGGTTTGGGGAGTTGAACTGGCAACCTTACAATCATAGCCCCACCCTCTGTGCCACCACTCCCCTTATAAAAATGCCATGCTCAGAGTATATGTTGTAAATGACTCTCCACTACTACCACATTTAATCTGAGCTCAGTATTCATAAAACAGACAGATTTACAGCCATTATCATGTTAATTAATGCCTGTTATCTGTGGTGGCCATATTGGAGTGGGCTGACTCTAAAAGCTATTCAGTTATAGATGTACGTCCAATGATTACTTTTTAAAACCTTCGGTAAAACCTGTCGAGTGACATACAGGTGAGTCCACAGTTAAAGCTAAAGTTTTTGACAAATACCTCCCACACTCAGTAGCACTTAGATTAGTCTGAGCTGCTGCTGCAAATTTTAGCCACATATTTGTAAAATTGTCAGAGTTAGAGTACTTTCTGTGCTTTCTAAGTTCAGATGGCTATGGCACTTACCTTGGTTTGGGTTGGCTCTAAAAGTTAATCACTTGTAGAAACACATCCAGTGATCATGACTAGAAAGGTTCATTAAAATCCACACAGTGGTTCATGAGATATTTTGCTAACAAACTCCAAATGGATATTGACAAATATCTTGTGTGATTTTTTTTAATTTTTTTTTAACCACTGTGATTATGTGTTGGGGATTAGTCTCAGCCACCACAACCCAAAAACTAAGCTCAGCGACTGAAGACATCTTTGTGATTTGTAAGGTTGGTTGATTGCAGCGGCCATCTTGAATCACATTGCCAAACCTAATCAGTGTAGATGTACATCTGCAAGTTGTAATCAGTTTTGCCCTCTGGTTCATAAGATATTTTGAAATCAGACACACAGATGAACATTATTGCACGTCTTTACAGCAACATCCGGCGTTTGTGGATGGAGCAGCTGGAGGTGGGATTTACATACAATACTGAACAAGGTGCCAGCTCCACAGAGGTGCAGCACCAAGAAAGCTTTGATGGATAACAAAAAGGACGAAAGTTTTCTTCAAAAGCAATACTATTTCGACAGGAAGAAGGCAAAAAAAAAAAAGGCCATAGAGGAAAAGATAAAATGAAAAAGAAAAACTTGTGTCAGTGAGAGGGCTGCGAGCTGAGGGGTGTGAAGCTGAGAAAGGTGCACCCTGCTAAGGACACTGATGAATGCGCTTCAGGCTTCAAGCTCTTCCTGCAGCCTCCAGCAGGGCACAGAGTCTAATCACGCTCTGTGAGATCCTACAGCCCAAAGCTGATGAAAGGAAACAGAACGCAGTTAGTGTATCAAACTGCCTGCACAACCCCCCAAAATACACATTTTTCACCAACTCGTTTCTGTGTGGATTCATGGTTTTTGTCTTCAACCTCATTTCCTGCTTCGATCATTAGAAACAAAACAAGATCAAAGCTTTGGGTTTACATAATTCACAGGGACTCTATTAGGCCTGAACCCAAAAACCAGAGCAAGAGGGAATTCCTAATAATAAGGATCATACCATGATATACGTAAGCGGGTTAGGAAAATTAGATTATTCCCTTCTTGCATACCATGGCAACTAATCTGCTCTGCATGAGAGTGTTTTTGTGTCTACGGAAGATGCGGGCACCATTGCATCAAAAATAAGCTGCACAGAATAAGCTGTCGAGGTAAGACTCTGAAATACACAGCAGATCTTTAATTACAGAAGTATGTTGTGACTTTAACAATGAAGATAGAAAAATAGATTAATCAGACGTTCATATTTGTCCAGTTCATGAGGGAGATAAGTTTCAGCGAAAAATACCTAAAAAAGTTGTGTACAGTACACGAAACTGTAAACCTGAAATGTTAATAAAAGAAATGAAAGTATAAAGTATTGAAAAGTGTAAAATAAAACATAAGATGTACAGTACTCCCTCACTAATTTGCGGTTTGTTTATCGTGGACTCGCTCTATCGCAGTTTTTCAAAATAACATTGGACATCACACACAATGGCTGATTGATGGATGAGCCACAAAATCGGTATGAATGTTTTATTGAAAATAAATTACATTGAATTATTTAGCACCTCCTGCAGCTTTGTGCAGCTCACACTGTTGCAGGATAAACTTCCTGCTGCAGCTGATCAGCTGATCAGCTGTTCAGCGTGCATTGTGGCTAAATGGGCGTGGCCAAGAGTGCTTGCAGGTGAAATCATGACATTCTGTGCTTTTTAGAGCGTTTAGAGCAGCGGTGTCAAACTCACTTACAAAAGGGGCCAAACTTAAAACCTTTTCCAAACTAAGGGCCAATTTCAGAGACTACATTAACTCAAATCAGATACCGAACATCTTTTCTTGGTCACAGGTTCCTCAGCAAGAGTTTGATTGGTCTAATTTGATGTTCTCTGTTGTTCTTTCAACATCATAATCAAAGATTACAGAAAAAAATTCAAGAGATAGAAGTATTTTACGTTTCACATATCATCTTGGTGGTCAAATAAGATGCCAACAAAGGCCACATCTGGCCCCCGGGCCTTGAGTTTGAAACATATTGTTTAGAGTTTAGAAACATTGTTTAGAATATTGCAAGAGCGTGGGAAGGGCTTAAAATGCCTTTATATATGTTAGGGATGGGGCCGATCCGATCCAGTATAGGTATGGGACTCCAATTCCAGCATAAGTTACGTATCAGATTTTTACGATCCAGCCTGCAGAGATTGCTGATCCATGATGCATGTCTGTCTTCAAGTAAAACATCTCCACATGTGATTCCCTGCCAGCTGCTCTGCACGTTGATTTCATACTATGGAATGGATTTCCTGAACGGAGGCATGTCTCATGAGCCCAGAGTAATAAGACCCGCCTCACGTTCAGGAAATCCATTTCATAGTTTGCAGCCAGCTACAACGTGCAGTAGCACTGTGGCTAACAGCTAACCAACTTTTCATCTAAACATGTCCGCTGTGTGGAAATATTTTACACTAGAAACAGCACAAAACAAGACGGCAACGTGCAATGTCTGCAGAGCCATAGCGCCACATTAAACCGCAGTAACGTCAGTTTTACGTTGGACATTGTTCGAGCTCCGGGGCTTCAGTGGTTTGTTATTTTCGTTCAGTCCGGAGAAGGCAGTCTGACAGTCAGACTGAGCGCGGCTGAACAAAATCAGACTGCCTTCTCCGGACTGAACGACAGTAACACACCGCTGAAGCCCTCAAAGTTTACAGAGAAGTTGCTAAACTTCATCGTAATTAATGACCGTGACTACCAGTTGTAGAAAACAAAGGATTTCTCAGCTTGATACTTGCAGCCAAGATATAGTTTACCCTCCAGGAGATATTTATCAGTACACTTAGTAGACAATCATAAAAAAGCACAAGAATTGAAAAATACAAGAAAATTATATATATATAAAAACAAAACAAAACCAGCTACATTATAAAGTGATGTAAATTACTAAAAACAGG